AAGTTTCTCCAATCTTCTCAAAACTCTGGATTATGATAGAGGGCCACGAGACTTTGACCTGAGTGCAAAAATGGAGGCTCTAGACCCTTCCAGAGCTGAGATATCGAAATTCAAAATTTCGACCCGAAAAAAAAACGACAGTGTTACCCCTTTCGTTTTTTTTCATTTTTGGGCGAAAAATTAAGTTTCTCCAATCTTCTCAAAACTCTGGATTATGATAGAGGGCGTGAGACTTTGACCTGAGTGCAAAAATGGAGGCTCTAGACCCTTCCAGAGCTGAGATATCGAAATTCAAAATTTCGACCCGAAAAAAAAAACGACAGTGTTACCCCTTTCGTTTTTTTTTCATTTTCGGGCGAAAAATTAAGTTTCTCCAATCTTCTCAAAACTCTGGATTATGATAGAGGGCCGAGACTTTGACCTGAGTGCAAAAATGGAGGCTCTAGACCCTTCCAGAGCTGAGATATCGAAATTCAAAATTTCGACCCGAAAAAAAAAACGACAGTGTTACCCCTTTCGTTTTTTTTCATTTTTGGGCGAAAAATTAAGTTTCTCCAATCTTCTCAAAACTCTGGATTATGATAGAGGGCTGTGAGACTTTGACCTGAGTGCAAAAATGGAGGCTCTAGACCCTTCCAGAGCTGAGATATCGAAATTCAAAATTTCGACCCGAAAAAAAAACGACAGTGTTACCCCTTTCGTTTTTTTCATTTTTCGGGCGAAAAATTAAGTTTCTCCAATCTTCTCAAAACTCTGGATTATGATAGAGGGCTGTGAGACTTTGACCTGAGTGCAAAAATGGAGGCTCTAGACCCTTCCAGAGCTGAGATATCGAAATTCAAAATTTCGACCCGAAAAAAAAACGACAGTGTTACCCCTTTCGTTTTTTTTCATTTTTGGGCGAAAAATTAAGTTTCTCCAATCTTCTCAAAACTCTGGATTATGATAGAGGGCCACGAGACTTTGACCTGAGTGCAAAAATGGAGGCTCTAGACCCTTCCAGAGCTGAGATATCGAAATTCAAAATTTCGACCCGAAAAAAAAACGACAGTGTTACCCCTTTCGTTTTTTTTCGTTTTCGGGCGAAAAATTAAGTTTCTCCAATCTTCTCAAAACTCTGGATTATGATAGAGGGCCACGAGACTTTGACCTGAGTGCAAAAATGGAGGCTCTAGACCCTTCCAGAGCTGAGATATCGAAATTCAAAATTTCGACCCGAAAAAAAAACGACAGTGTTACCCCTTTCGTTTTTTTTTCATTTTTGGGCGAAAAATGAAGTTTCTCCAATCTTCTCAAAACTCTGGATTATGATAGAGGGCCACGAGACTTTGACCTGAGTGCAAAAATGGAGGCTCTAGACCCTCCCAGAGCTGAGATATCGAAATTCAAAATTTCGACCCGAAAAAAAACGACAGTGTTACCCCTTTCGTTTTTTTTCGTTTTCGGGCGAAAAATTAAGTTTCTCCAATCTTCTCAAAACTCTGGATTCTGATAGAGGGGCACGAGACTTTGACCTGAGTGCAAAAATGGAGGCTCTAGACCATTCTAGAGCTGAGATATCGAAATTCAAAATTTCGACCCGAAAAAAAACCGACAGTATTACCCCTTTTGTTTTTTTTCGTTTTCGGGCGAAAAATTAAGTTTCTTCAATCTTCTCAAAACTCTGGATTATGATAGAGGGCCACGAGACTTTGACCTGAGTGCAAAAATGGAGGCTCTAGACCCTTCCAGAGCTGAGATATCGAAATTCAAAATTTCGACCCGAAAAAAAAACGACAGTGTTACCCCTTTCGTTTTTTTTCCTTTTCGGGCGAAAAATGAAGTTTCTCCAATCTTCTCTAAACTTTAGATTCTGATAGAGGGGCGTGAGATTTTGACCTGAGTGCAAAAATTGAGGCTCTAGACCCTTCCAGAGCTGAGATATCGAAATTCAAAATTTCGACCCGAAAAAAAAAACACAGTGTTATCCCTTTCGTTTTTTTTCCTTTTCGGGCGAAAAATGAAGTTTCTCCAATCTTCTCAAAACTCTGGATTCTGATAGAGGGGCGTGAGACTTTGACCTGAGTGCAAAAATGGAGGCTCTAGACCCTTCCAGAGCTGAGATATCGAAACTCAAAATTTCGACCCGAAACAAAAAAATGACAGTGTTACCCCTTTCGTTTTTTTCGTTTTCGGGCGAAAAATTAAGTTTCTCCAATCTTCTCAAAACTCTGGATTATGATAGAGGGCTGTGAGACTTTGACCTGAGTGCAAAAATGGAGGATCTAGACCCTTCCAGAGCTGAGATATCGAAATTCAAAATTTCGACCCGAAAAAAAAACGACAGTGTTACCCCTTTCGTTTTTTTTCATTTTTGGGCGAAAAATTAAGTTTCTCCAATCTTCTCAAAACTCTGGATGATGATAGAGGGCTGTGAGACTTTGACCTGAGTGCAAAAATGGAGGATCTAGACCCTTCCAGAGCTGAGATATCGAAATTCAAAATTTCGACCCGAAAAAAAAACGACAGTGTTACCCCTTTCGTTTTTTTTCATTTTTGGTTGAAAAATTAAGTTTCTCCAATCTTCTCAAAACTCTGGATTATGATAGAGGGCCACGAGACTTTGACTTGAGTGCAAAATGGAGGCTCTAGACCCTTCCAGAGCTGAGATATCGAAATTCAAAATTTCAACCCAAAAAAAAAAAACGACAGTGTTACACCTTTCGTTGTTTTTTTTTCGGGCGAAAAATTAAGTTTCTCCAATCTTCTCAAAACTCTGGATTATGATAGAGGGCCACGAGACTTTGACTTGAGTGCAAAAATGGAGGCTCTAGACCCTTCCAGAGCTGAGATATCGAAATTCAAAATTTCGACCCGAAAAAAAAAACGACAGTGTTACCCCTTTCGTTTTTTTTTCATTTTTGGGTGAAAAATGAAGTTTCTCCAATCTTCTCAAAACTCTGGATTATGATAGAGGGCTGTGAGACTTTGACCTGAGTGCAAAAATGGAGGATCTAGACCCTTCCAGAGCTGAGATATCGAAATTCAAAATTTCGACCCGAAAAAAAAAACGACAGTGTTACCCCTTTCGTTTTTTTTCCTTTTCGGGCGAAAAATGAAGTTTCTCCAATCTTCTCAAAACTCTGGATTCTGATAGAGGGGCGCGAGATTTTGACCTGAGTGCAAAAATGGAGGCTCTAGACCCTTCCAGAGCTGAGATATCGAAATTCAAAATTTCGACCCGAAAAAAAACCCGACAGTGTTACCCCTTTCGTTTTTTTTTTTCATTTTTGGGCGAAAAATGAAGTTTCTCCAATCTTTTCAAAACTCTGGATTATGATAGAGGGCTGTGAGACTTTGACCTGAGTGCAAAAATGGAGGCTCTAGACCCTTCCAGAGCTGAGATATCGAAATTCAAAATTTCGACCCGAAAAAAAAAAAACGACAGTGTTACCCCTTTCGTTTTTTTTCGTTTTCGGGCGAAAAATGAAGTTTCTCCAATCTTCTCAAAACTCTGGATTATGATAGAGGGCCACGAGACTTTGACCTGAGTGCAAAAATGGAGGCTCTAGACCCTTCCAGAGCTGAGATATCGAAATTCAAAATTTCGACCTGAAAAAAAAACGACAGATTTACCCCTTTCGTTTTTTTTCGTTTTCTGGCGAAAAATGAAGTTTCTCCAATCTTCTCAAAACTCTGGATTCTGATAGAGGGGCGCGAGACTTTGACCTGAGTGCAAAAATGGAGGCTCTAGACTCTTCCAGAGCTGAGATATCGAAATTCAAAATTTCGATCCGAAAAAGAACGACAGTGTTACCCCTTTCGTTTTTTTTTTTTCGGGCGAAAAATGAAGTTTCTCCAATCTTCTCAAAACTCTGGATTATGATAGAGGGGCGTGAGACTTTGACCTGAGTGCAAAAATGGAGGCTCTAGACTCTTCCAGAGCTGAGATATCGAAATTCAAAATTTCGACCCGAAAAAAAAAAACGACAGTGTTACCCCTTTCGTTTTTTTTTTTTTCGGGCGAAAAATGAAGTTTCTCCAATCTTCTTAAAACTCTGGATTCTGATAGAGGGGCGTGAGACTTTGACCTCAGTGCAAAAATGGAGGCTCTAGACCCTACCAGAGCTGAGATATCAAAATTCAAAACTACGACCCGAAAAAAAAACGACAGTGTTACCCCTTTAGTTTTTTTTTTTTTCGGGTGAAAAATGAAGTTTCTCCAATCTTCTCAAAACTCTGGATTCTGATAGAGGGGCGCGAGACTCTGACCTTAGTGCATAATGGAGGCTCTAAACCCTTCCAGAGCTGAGATATGGACATCCCACGTAGCATTATGCCATTATAAAAATAGTGAGTTCGTGGACGGTGGAATTATGGGATGGCGCTTGGTGCTACGGACTCCCAAGGCCCTCTATCAGAATCCAGAGTTTCAAGAAGATTGGAGAAACTCGTTTTTTTGCACCAAAAAACAACAAAAAACAACAGGTGTACCACTGGATCATTAATATAATTACTAGATGCAAAGCTTTACTGGCATTTGATTGGATGACAAACATCCAATCTCATGGTCTGCAGCCTTTAAACTAGGTGAAATGCTCCAAAGTTAAAAAAAGGGGGCTGACATGTGATGTCCATTGTAATGGACACAGGGTCTGAATGGGTTAACCTTTTTAATTTTTTAAGTATATAAAAAAGTAAGTATTGTAAATAGGTATTTAAAATTTTTTTTATACAGACACAGATTTCCGAAGGATCATGTGACTCACTGAAGACTGGAGTAAGGGACTGATGCAAACTCTGTTTTGCATCACCAAAATAAAATATATTTTAATTTTATTATATAATTCCAATAATGGATTTCTATTTTAATATATCCATTATTATTACAATATTACGGTTTAGTCCAACGTTTGGTTCTGTCCAGCAAGGGCCCTGAAAGCAAGCAAAGCAGCAGCTCTGATATCACTGATAATCATGTCAGCACAAACACCAAAGGAAAGAAAGCACATGCATCCAAATATTTTCAAAATGTTTATTTCTCTTTTGGCTACATTCTCTACAATCGCAGCAGCACTTTAGAGACAGATCACCAATATGTTGAGCTGAAAACTGCTTCTGGGGTTTGAAAGAGTATTTAGAGAGAGAGGAAACAACAAAAGCTGAGATTCTTCCCCTGAAAACAGACTCTGGAAGCTTTGACGAGTTTGATCGCGGTCCGGTCCACGTCGATCGGAGATGCTGACCTGACTCAGGCTCCGGGATCAGCGAGGGTTGCTAAGCAACATGACAGCACTGGGTCTGGGCATAAAGGGGTTAAACGATCATGGGTGGGGTCCGGCCCATCTTCCGTCTGCTCAAACACACACACACACACACACACACACACACACACAGACACTCAGACTCACAACACACCTCAATCACAACCACATGGAGTTTTTTTCATGCCGTTTCCTGGTAAATCAAATTTATATTTGGTCGGATTCTGAATAAATCATAGAACTAAAAGCAACATCGGGTAGCAGCGAGGTGATGCTGCATCAGACGACTAAATTTACAAACAAACGGAGAAAATATGAAAACCTGCCGAGGGTTGGATTCAGTAAATACGCAGGCGTGGTTTGAGAGGTCTACTGAGACGACTCTATTTACGGCGTCTCCTCCCACATGCAGGACGCCCCGGTCGGTGAAACTGCTCTCATCACACTGATCTAGAACATGTGCAGCTCATTTTACACCCCAAAATCCAAATAAATAAATAGTCGACCTAAAAGAATCAATTTTGACAATATATGGCAATTACATGTATGGAAAAGACATTGTATGCATACATCATTGTAGTATGAGATGTGACAATTTTGATTTGTTTTACAGTTATAAAAGAGTATATATATAAATTCTTTATAACAGTAAAATTCAATCAAAATAGTGTCACAATAAATGTAAATTTGTGCCAAACGCTCCTAAAACAGCCTTCGTTTCTTTAATGCAAATTAAAATACAATTTTCATGCTTGTTTTGGGGGTGAAAAATGACCTGGACATTATTTGTATTGATTCATCCATCAATTTTTTTTAAATATTGCGCCCATTTAAACATAAGCTGACAATGTTCATACATGTTGCTTTGAAGTGAAACAGACAGTACTTTGTAACACACAAACACCTTGCAATCTGTGGCCAACATGAACAGCCAACATATAACGCGTGGCGTAAAACATCCATTCTCTGGTGCACGCACACAAATTCTTAGACACCTTTGTGCCACATTAAAACACTCGTTCGTCTATTTCCAATCACACTACAATTAATTGCCTCTAAATTTCACACTTACACAAAACAAAACACCCCTTTACTGAGGCGTAGCTCAGGGAGGATATCAACAAGAAGCTAACACGTTAGCGCAACCCTCCCAAATCTACTCCACAAAATGCCTTGGGTAAAAAAAAAAAAAATCCATTTTCAAATGGTTCTAGCTCTGACTGACATCTGGATCCACACAGGAAATGACATCAGTCATTCCTGCCCCAATATCAATGGCAGTCACCGTGGCCGGTGTGGGTGGGTGTGTCCTACAGCCTGTCAGCTGATACATAGCTCCTCCCCCTTCCGGTCCACCCCGAGGTGTCGAAGGGAGGGAAATCACCATCAGAACCATCAATCGCGATCGATCAGCCAATGAGATCAGTAGGAGATTATTCCTGAAGAGGCGGGGCTGGCGGGCGTGGCCTGCAAGTTCCCCGACGAATTGGACCGTCTCATGTGAGGAAGGAGGTACGAGTCGCTGCCCAGTTGGTGGACGTCAAACCGGTCCTCCTTTCTGTAAGCCAGACAGCGGCGGATAAACGCCTGCGGAGGACGAGAAGCAACTTGTTCAGTGTCATTCCCACACATGCGTTTTAGGGTTGCGCGATTAATCGCAATTTAACCCTTCTATTATCTTCATTTGTGTCGACTCATTATCTTTGGGGTTTCCAGGGACCTCAGACAATAACATTTAATTTTGAAGCAGTATAATATTTTTTTTATTTTTATAATGTAATTTTACTCTATCTATTGATGTTTTTACTCAACATTTGTGCAGTTTTTGGAGGATTTTTGATATCTTTTAAATTTCTATAAATTAATAAATAAATATTTATTTAAATAGGCTTTTTACAAAAAAGCGGCATTGTATGTAAAATTCACTTTATAAAAGACCCAGATTTCTAATTTTCATTCATGGACATAACATGGATCATTTAACATGGTTTAATGTAAGATTTGACAATTTTTTGGAAATGCAGTTTTAAAATAAAAAAATATCACTTTAACCACTAGATGGCCATAGACCTCCACTATAAGCTATTTGCTATTTGACTAACCAAACTATATATATTTCACAAGTTTTTCCAGTTAATTCGGTCAGTACCTAAAAAGTACCAAACTCGGTACCCAGCCAGTGTGTGTGTGTGTGTGTGTGTGTGTGAGAGACGCCCTCTGGTGTTCAGATGGATCAGCCGTACTTCACTGACAAGCTGCACATAAAATAATCTCAGCCTTTGCTAAATCGCGTGCAGTTTCATTACGATTATTTTTTTTTCTTAGACATTACATAGCATTAAATCAATACAAACAAACATGGAAAAAACAAAACACAAATGACAGCAAGACACACATACACAAATAAGTTGCCTGGGTAACAAAAAAAAAAAAAAACAAGAATGCAATGCATCCACCCAAAAATGAAAAATCATGTCATCATTTACTCACCCTCAAGTTGTTTCAAACCTTTCTTTCTTTTGTTGAACACAAAGGAAGATATTTTGAAGAATGATTGGACCTCTGGCACCATTGACTTCCATAGTATTTTTTTTTTACTATGGAAGTCAATGGTGCCAAACAATCGTTCAAAAGAAAGAAAGGTTTGAAACAACTTGAGGGTGAGTAAATGATGACATGATTTTTCATTTATGGGTTGAGTGTCCCTTTAAGAGGAAAAAAAAGGAGGAATATAGATTTGCAGTTTTCAACGCTTTGGGTTCATTGCGATTAACACACTCGCAATACTGACCTTGGCCTCGTTGCTAGCCACGGGTTTGGCAGGAAACTGCACCTCAGTGGCTTTCAGGATGGTGTTCTCTTGAAGGATGTCTTGCTGGGACTGATTATGGCCAAACGGCTGCAGAATGACAAAAGATTCAATGCAGCTTCATCCTAAAATGCAGTTTACATCAATAGGCGTGTTTCTAAACACTGAGCCTTACCTTTCGTCCATACAGGCACTGGAAGAAGATGACGCCCACAGACCACACATCTACTTTATTAGAGATCTTTGGAGGCTCTTTACCAACAACAAAACACTCTGGCGGCAAATACCTAAAAAAAAAAAAAAAAAAAATTAACATTTGGTTTTAAAATATTAGTGGGAAAAATCTACTTTTTTTTTTTTAAATGGAACAGTTTATTGAACTAAGACAATAAAATGCATGTTTTTGATACATCAAAACTTGTATGGTTCACATAGTGAGAATATGGAGCTCATAATAGTGGAGTTAAAAACATGGGAACTCAAACTGAGGAAAAGTATACTATTTGCTGCAAATGCTGATATTTACATAATATGGCCAAAAAGTAAGATTAAATTCTAGTAGCTTGTAATGTAAATCAATGAGATATTTGTAAAAGTATAACCGACCAGTTGCATAAAATGCATATAAGGCTCTGTTTACAGCCGGTACTAAGATGCACTTTGGTCGATCGGATCGCAAGTGGACGAAATTAAATACAGGAATAAACGTGGTCTAAAATATTATGAGGTTGTCCACTCGCTTTTACCAAACGCTCATTTGGTCGAATGTGTTCAAACAGCCACAAAAGACCGTCTACTGACGTCATCCATAACCATTATAGGAAGATCGTTAGAATCTTTGTCGACTGAAGACCCAAGTTTGATTTAAAGATGAAATATATATTCATGATCTTCTCCGTGTGTTTTTCCAATGTCTCCGGTCACATTCATATGTAAATTGCCCGAGATTATTTCATCCATTGGATTGAAAGATAGCCCATAGACTCTAGCCTTGAAGAAATCAGGACAGAAGTGGTCAAAAGTGGACAAAAGAGACGGATTAAAACACCAGGTGTAAACGGGAATGTCTTCCTCGTCTACTTGTGATCCGATCGATCAAAACACATATTAAAACCAGGAGTGAACAGGGCCTAAATATCATGTCACTATGCTTAGATTTATGACCAAAGCTCTGTAGTTTTCACTTTGGGGAGGAGAATGTATAATGCCATACAGTGATGACTGACAGATGAACATTCCTCATAAGCCTGATGGATCATATTTGATGCATACATTTAACATGATTTTTTTTTTTAAACCAAAAAGAGAAATTTAAAGCTACACTGTGTAACTCTTTTAGTTTATTCTTATCTTAAAACACTTAGTTCTTTCAAAAATATATGTGCTCATTAATGTATATTTACTTCGTTCAAGTAATTAAGTATTCTCGTGAGTGTATAATATGCCATTGAAAATGCATTCGGGTAAGGGGTTTAATGTCGGTCGCCATGTTGCCCCTTCATCTTGAAAGTACATTAGCCAAAGAGGGACATACCCGTTAATTCAAGCTACGCCTTTCGCGTTTACGTTTGAGTGAACACTCATGGACGAGGTCGAACTGGAAGCCATGTTAATCTTGGACTACACTTGGAGTTAAAACGAAATTAGAATTGAGAGGAACAGAAACTAATATTCACTGGATGGTCATATACATTTTCACCACTAGATGGGGGTAAAAAACACACAGTGTAGCTTTAAGAATCTAAATTTTTACTCTAAAACGTCAAAATAAAAAATTTATAAAAGGTGGTCCATATAATTCTTCTGATGTCGTATGGAAATTCCCAGGAAAATGCATGACCAGATAAAAATGTGTACCTTAAATAAAATAAAAACATATGCCAAATGCATAACTGTAAATGCAAAACAAATGCATGACGTTACTGCCATCATATTTGATTTGAGATCTATGACACTAAAATGATATTCAGTGAAAAACAACTGGTCTGTTCCTCACAAATTTATGCTGCTATTTCGTCCTCTTTGTCCTCTATTTTCTGTTCCACAACACAATTATGTTTGGAATGTCAAAGGATTGAGTTTTTGACTAGAGAATGTTGTGATTTTAGCTGGACACTGACCAGTAGGTTCCGGCTCCCTGTGATGTCAGGTCCATCCCGTCCACTCCGTAGCTGTCGTCATCCATGATTTTTGACAGGCCAAAGTCTGTGATCTTAATCTCCCCACATGCTGTTCCATCCACCAACAGGATATTTCCTGAACAACCCAAAAACAAAACACATACTTCCTATACAGCCTACATGACAAATAACAATCATCCATCCTTAAAACGAGCATTTTTTGCACCAGTTCCCCATTCACACCATGAGGTCTCTATGTCTCTAAGATGAGTTCACGTGTGTGAATGAAAGAGGGCATGGGCTGGGTCCGAAAGCTTAGGGAGCTGACTTGTTGACTTCTGAGACAGCCTAACGGTTTAATGATCAACAACAAAAAAGAGAGCGCTTTGGTGATGACTAAACAAACATTTAATTACTAAAAGAGTAAAAAGATGGTCAATGTGTATTTGCACACAAATCGGCCACTAACTTCCACCTTCATGCAGCATCTTTATTTTTTAGCTCAAGTGGCATTGAGGATTTTGGGATATCATAAGCAGGACACATCTATGATGCCTTCAAAAATCGATCAGATGAAGGGATCTCAGACAGGATGTGATAAGGTTATTAATTCGGCCTTGTTTTTGTAGTACCGCATGCTGCCTCTTGAGGCAGAGTTTTCTCTGTAGTGGAGGTCTGTGACGGATGGATTTTCATTCTCTCTCCTGACAAAAATATGTAATACTTTATCCCACTCAGTCCCCAGTCTAGTATCTGTCTCGTTCTTGTGTCTAAAGGCCATTTTCCCACTTTCCAGACACAAACGATGCTTCCGATTTCCGGTGACAGACTTGATCATGCTGTTATTATTAGATGATTATAATTTGTCATTTCTTTCTCACGCTTCACATACTCCTACCAGGGTGTGTTCACACTTGTTTTGTTTGATCCGGACCACAAATAAAATAAAAATGTTTAGCCCTGGTAAGCTTAGCTTTCTCATTGGCATTTGAACCTACAGATATCAAACCTATGGGTAAACGGATATATTCACAACCTGGTCGGCTTTTATTACAAACATATTTTGCGATGGCACTTACCGAATATCCAAAACAATGCTGTGTTGTGGGCTAAACGCACTCATTATATGTGTCTAACTTAGCCCTTTATATGATGGTGTTTTGACCAGCTGAGAACTCGAGAAGAGCTTATAAATAGGGATGCACCGAATATTCGGCCGCTGAAAATTTTCGGCCGAAAATGGCCCAAAAGTGCATTTTCGGTTTTCGGAAAGACTTTTATCACCGAAACAATACGGCCGAAATGTTGTGATGACGCAAACAGAAACCGCGACCTGCACGTGCTTCTCTGAAGCAACATGTCTGCGGTGCGGACGTATTTCAGTGAATCTGAACCCGCGAGGAGACGGAAGCCTTGTTTATCCACCTATATCTGCTCTAAACAATGCGCGCCGCCATGACTCCGGTTGCAAGCGGGTCAAGAGCAGTGCACGCGCTGTCTGTGGAGACTCGCGCTGTGGAGGCCGGCGAAAGTATAAACAAGGCAGCGCGAGTCTCCACAGACAGTACATGTTATCACTGTGAAGCTGCTTTGATACAATCTGTATTGTGAAAAGCGCTATATAAATAAATGTGACTTGACTTGACTTGACAGTCTCCAAACAGTCGAGGCGTTTATACTTGACGCGCTCTCCGTTGTACTATTCCTTGAAACGACAGGGGACGTTTTTTTAGTAGGCTATTCCACCACCAATACAAAAATAATCATGTAAAACCCAGTAAACCCTGAGATTATTACATGTGACATTACAAAAAAATATGTATATGGGATTGGGAACTATGTATATGTATGTATAGAACTAAATGAATGCTCTCTTAAACATTTAAATACATTCACTAAACATGTTTCATTAAGTTTCATGTACATTTGTATTAAACATGGACCATTGTTCATTTAAAAAGGCCTTTTATGCTAAATTTTTAAAATGTAACTAATTTAGACGTGCAAACTGGGTGCTGGTTTGATGAGAAGTTTGCGCTCGGCTTTGTTTTTGAGAGAACGTTTCATTTTAAAACCTTTCTGCAGGCCAGTAGATTATTATTTAGTGTACACATGAGTGGGGTCAAGTTAAACATTTTAGTTTGAATTTTATTTTATACTGTGCATTGTGCTAAATAAATATTTGCATAATTTGTAATTGATTTAGTCTTTGAAAATGTGATATTAATTTATGCAATTGCAATGCCTTGATTTTAGTAAAGTTTGTACACAGTCATAGCCATAAATGCAATGATACTAATAATTCTTTCGGTGTTTCGGTTTTCGGCCTTGGTTTCCTCTTTTTCGGTTTCGGCCAAGAATTTTCATTTCGGTGCATCCCTACTTATAAAATGTGTAAAGGAGTCAAAACAGTGTCAGGAATCCCTCCGTCACACAAACCAAGATCTGCAGCGAGGAGACGCGGTTCTGATGCCTGTACTGAATTGTGTTATGAGCAACATCGAAACTAACAACATCACGAAATTAAAACGAACCAGGGTTCGTTTTAATCCAACCAAACATGCCAAGTGTGAACACCCCCCCCCCAGTATCTTTCATCCCACAGTTCAAAACTGCTCCCGCACCACCGCAGGTAAATAGTGCGTGTTGCATTCACCCGGTTTCAGGTCGTAGTGGATGATGGGCGGTTTGATCTCATTGAGGTATCGGAGGGCGTTGACTATCTGCATGACGATGGAGCGAGCCTCTTTCTCAGACATCAGCTTGTGTTGCTTCAGATAGAAATCAAGATCATTCCCCTCGCAGAACTCGAGAACAGTGCAGAATCTACAACAGGAACGCATCAGGTCAACATTTGTATAGTTGCAAAAACCAGAGCGAGTAAAATGCACAAAACAGACGACTTGGAAAATGCTTACGTGTCAGTGTCCAGAGAAAAGTAGTCGTAAAGTTTGACTATTCTGGGATGGTCCAGTTGCTTGTGGATTCTGTATTCTCGACAGGCATGTCTGGAGTGGACGAAAACAAATGAGTGTGAAAAACTTGGGAGAGAGGGAAAGGAAAAGAAAAAAAAGGTGGGTGACATACTTGTGGTAGTTCTCTTTCTTCTCTTCTCTCCAGTTCTTGTTGAGCTGGTGGATCTTCACAGCAGCATATCGTTGCTCAAACAGGTCGAATGCCTTCACACAACAACAGAAGACGGTTCATTTTTCACAATATAAAGTAAAGTTAATAATTCTATGCTGTCTGTGAACATTTTCTAATGATTGGGTGTTTCATGCCACAGCTGTAACCATATGTTTTATATTACTATAAACAGACTATATTTTTATTTTTTGAAAATTGGTGTCTTTTATGATATTGCATTTGCCGTTCGCATTAAGCAATGCAAAGCTTTCTGTAGTTTTACAATAGTTTTTTGTTTTCCTCTTTACAAATATTTCTGGTTTAACTCAGAATAATTTGCAATATGAATGCTAAATATAAATATCTGGATTTTTTTTTTAACAAAATGTTATAACTTGCCCTGAAATGACTATGTAACAGTTCCATGATCAAATCATGTTTGATAAAATCAAGTTTCTCAATGAAACATGTCAGAATACAGAAGTAAAATGTGTTGTGAAAATGGTTTATTGTTGATTTTAATGTACACTAATGATTTGTATATTGTTTCTGAAAGAAGTCTCTTCTGCTCACCAAGGCTACATTTATTTTTACAAAAAAAATATTAAAAGCAGGTATTGTGTGTTAAATTATAACAATTTTATATAAGTGTTTTCTATGTGAATATATAGTCAAATGTAATTCCTGTGATCAAAGCTGTATTTTCAGCATCATTACTCCAGTCTTCTGTGTCACGTGACCCTTCAGAAATCACTCTAATATATGATGATTTGCTGCTCATTTCTGATTATTATCAATGTTGAAAACAGTTTTTCCAAATTTTTGTGGAAACCGTGATACATGTTTACAGGAATCTTTGGTGAATAGAAAGTTCAATAGAACAGCATTTATTTGAAACAGAAATCTGCCATTCAATCAATTTGATGCGTCATTGCTGATTAAAAGCATTCATTCCTGACCCCAAACGTTTGAACAGTAATATATGTATGTGTTGAACAGGAGAGAACACAAACTGTATGAAAGTGAGTGCGTGCATCTAATAATAAAGAAATAAATACCTTATAAACTTCACTGAAACCTCCTCTTCCCAGCAAGTGTAACAGGAGATATCTTTCATTAAGGGTCGGATGGTCTTTAAACCTAAAAACACATCAGGCACATTCACACTTGAAAGATATTCTGAGATTAAGAGTGTTATTATTTCTTTTCAGAAGCATATTATACAGAAATAACTAAAATGGCAATAGAATAGTACCAAAAAACAGTTTTTTAAGTTATAATCATGTCTGAAATCTGTCTTTAAACTTGCATATTAAAATGTTGACGCAGACTTTTTAATTCAGCACTGAGTGGCACACTCTCAAAGTTGATTCTTGTGTACAGCCGATGCAATAACTGAAGTGTGTCTCTGATACAGTGTGTGTATTATATCTGCTCTTTCAATCCCCTTATTTAAAATCTCCAAAAACAATATTTACGATTTAATTGAAATAATCGTATGTAATAAGAAGTGGGCGGGACATACTGAGAACTGTCCTCATTGTTGATTCTTTTAAGTTCTCGAATGTGCAGATTCCTCACGCGCTCCAACCGTTCCAGCTCCGCCTGAATCTCTGCCTCCTCCTGAACACACACACACACACACATAGGGTTTAAATGCGTTAAGGGAACATTTTCAAAAAAACATAATTCTGTCTGATTTATAAGCTGTTTTCCTCATGGGGACCAAAGATGTCCCCACAAGGACAAGGATTTCAGATATTGCCATCTTTTTGTCCCCATACTGTCACATTTACCTAGACCACACACAGACTTGATACTAACATACTCACGTATGAAAGACAGATTCCAGTGAGAGGACAAAAAGATAGCTTAAAGAGTAACTAAACCCCTGGTCAGAGCCTGACTCCACCCACTAGCAATATTTGAAAAATGCTGAAAAAATGGGCAGACCCCAGCGGGGCCAGGGGGCGTGCACCTGAGACCCGCTGTGAGTGAGAGCTGCTGTCAGACTCTAAAATAGAGCGAGACTGGAGTGACTCAAGTAGCTGCCTTTGCAACAGAGCGGCCATTTGAAGTCGAGGACTTTTCTCCCTCACCTTCACCTGAAGTGGATGAGGGTGAATTGTATGTAGACACAGGGCCAAATCCATTCGAGCCGCTGGCTCAAACTGCGGTCTTAACTCCCGCATCGCGACCGGCATCTGATGAGTTTTGTCGTCGAGTTGATCTCAATAGCGCACGCTCTGTGGGCATGTATTCATATTGATATTCTGCCGCTATGTGAAAATTGATATTCTGCCGCATTTTGCTGTCAAAATCCAGCAAAATGCACCGGCTCGTTTGTCGACCCCAGAGGATTAACTTTATCCTAACCATAAATTGTGATTAAAATATCCATGATCACTCACATCAAGACGCCGCTGCGGTGGAGGAGTACATGCAGGACGAGCAGTGTTTGGCACTGCGTGTGGAGCTGTGTGGAGAAGCCCATGTCCACCTCTATTCCGTCACTATCCTGATCACTGTACTAAACTAATATATGATATCCTGATCGTTTTCAATACTCATAAATCCAACTCCTGACTCGCTACAGTAGTTTTGACGGAACCAGATGCTTTTATACCAGGGGCTAACAAGGGCGTGGTGAGCTCGCACCAAGGGTGTGACAGAGTCGCGTCTGAGAGTTCGCTACGTCAGCAAGTACCCCTACTGCAGGAGCTTTCCGTTTAACCTGAAGAGGGCAGCACTCAGACGTTTTTACACCATATATTTGAAAATCAAAACACTTTATACTCAATTGTCAAAAAATGTACTCGAATCAATGAACAGCATTTATGAGGCTCCATTTTTACAGATCATTAACTAAAAAAAGTTGTTTTGGTGTTTAGTTACCCTTTAAAGGGTTAGTTCACCCAAAAATGAAAATTCTGTCAGTACGCATCACACACATGACCAGCGTCGGCCAATAGTGAGCCTTCGTGTGACGTAGCTTTATGCAATCACATAACGTTAACAGACTACAGGCCCATAGAGAAGGAAGTGAATAGTTAAAATAAAGTCGTTATTTTTGTTTGTTTTTTGCACACAAAAGAGTTCTCGTTGTTTGATAAACTTAAGATTGAGCCAGTGTAGTCACTTGGACTATTTTAACGATGTCTTTAATGACTTTTCGATTCCAGCAAGAGTCATTCGCTCAAGAAGCCTATGGACTAGTATGCAGGAGCGATCTTAATATCTTAAATATCTTAATTTGTGTTGCGAAGATGAACGAAGGTCTTACGGGGTTGGAACAACATGAGGGTGAGTAAATACTGACCGAATTTTCATTTTTGGGTGAACTAACCCTTTAAAACATCCTTTCTGCAAGACTGCTTTTGTATGAAGCACCTCTCTGCCTTTTAACCATATTTCTCTGATGCGGTGTGTGTGTGTGTATTATGTTTATATAGAGAAACTAACCTTTTTGAGATGACCCAGTCTCAGTTTGAAAATTTCTTCTTGCTCATGATACTCTGCCACTGTCAGTCTGCACATTCAATACAAAAGCATTTCAATAAAAGGACCATTTTGAAGACAATATTACAGAAAACATTTGACTTTTTTCTGGTTCTATAAATCATCCATGCTTGCATAACAATCTTAAAATGATGAATTGTGTCCTAATTATCTCATTTTTAGTCTGCATTTCGAAGGCAAGAAACGAGTATGTTTGTGTGTTAATATCTCACAGCGTAGGCAGGCTGGGTTTGAGGAAGGGGTCGTTGTCAGCTCCATTGACTGCTTTGGTCTTTCTCTGTTTGGACTCATTGGGGGTCGGGCTCTGGGAGGAGGGTGTGCTGGGAGGTTTGCGCTTTGCTAGAAGTTTCCTCTGTCTCTCAATCTCTTCCCTCTGCTGGTTTATCCACTCTTGCTGCCTATTAAGACAGAAATAGAAAAATATTAAAACCCCAATAAAAAAATAATAACAACAGGCAAATGCAGGACAGAAAAGACTCGCCCTATTTTAATATTTACAATGGTTGATACTTTAATCCAAACTAAATGTGCGATGCATTAACACCAATGTTTGTACAAAAATTCAATATTTAATTATCATTAAAGTTTACAAATATTAAATATAATGTCAAATTCTGTAAATTAGGTCAGTGCATTAACTTTATGCTTTATCTCACATTATGTCTAGAGTCAGCCTCAGATGTCACGCCCAGACTGTTGGCTGAACATATGATGCATAAAGCTCGGTTCACACCACCAATGACACGCATGAAAAAGCAACATGATCCCATTCATTTCAATGGAGAGCTAGTCATTTCCGGCGACAGGATATAGCTTGTAGATATGCAAAAAAGTTGAGACATATTTAACTTTATGCAAATGAAGAGGCACTTTCAGAATCGACAACCAATAGGAGTGAAGAGTGCATGTGACCCGTCACTACATCCTGTAGTAGAGAGTGTCAGTGGGTGATTCTCAATACTCAAATTGATGCTACCTCGTTTCCTCACTCTCAGGTCCTCCAACACGTGACCCAGAACTGATCAGGTCTATCCTAAGGGGGTGTGGAGCTAAGACGTGAGGAAATGAAACGAAGATGCACAAATAAGAAATGAGAAGCACACAAAAGCAAGATGGAGGACAGGTTAATTTAAGCAGTCAACCCTATCATTTTTGATATGTCTCTGTGTACATAGGGTGGTACTTGCTGTGCAAACTGAGGACATGCAGCAACAAAGTCAATGGCAGTGTGAACGCAGCTAAAGGCACACGAAAAGGGAAACATTGAGAGTTTCAAAGTCGTCATCTGATTGTTTGAATTCTACAGGATCTCTGGGAGACGTGTGTGTGTTCCTGGACAGACTTAAAGAACACAAAGTCATTGTGATGCCAAAACCAGAGATGACCAAACCAGCTCATCAGGCCTAATGCGGATGGATTTATTCATTTTAAACAGTAGAAAATGAAAACGGATGTGTAACAGAATAACGGATCCATGTGTCAGGTCTTAAAGTGACAGCGCCTTAAAATATACCTGCTGCCAAATTATAATAATATTAAAATTATGTATATGGCAGTTTTACCCCATGATATCGATGTTAAAATTGAGGCCAGTGAAAATGCTGAGCGGCTAGTAACTTTGAAAACCACTGCTGGTGAGCATAAAAGGTCATGTCAAGTCCTGAACCTCATGAAAGAAAAAAAAAAACATCTAGATTAAAACTGACACAAAGCGCTTATCAGGATCTAAACACTGGATTTTCAAAACCATGTGAAGTTCACGGCAAGAGTCAATGTCTGTTATTGTTGGGAACTTGACTTTATATTTTCACACCCCTAAACATGATACTGAACAAAACGAACTGCTTTTCATGTCAGTCAGACGGCCTCTGGGCGGTTCTTGGCCATTGAAAGCTGCTATGGAATCCTAAGGATTCATAAGGTCTGGTTATATCCAGGTCAAATACTAAATGATGACGGTCCGTTTCTGCTCTTTTTCCGCATCTGTGTGCGACTCTTACTTGACCAGGTTCTGGAAGGCATATCCATCTGTCCACTGTTCTGAGTAGGACGCTCCGTGCCGGACTGTGGTGAAGTGCCCCAGACGCAGCCGGTCCTGCATGCTCTTTTCCCGGCAGGACTGCTTCTCTTGAGTGCTCTGGGAAGACGAGAACACACTTAAAGGGATACTTCGCCACAGGAAAGATGAATGTATTTAAAATGGGTCATTTATGTAGAAGAAATGTGAATATATTTTTGCATTTGGAGCTTTCTAGACTAAGAAAAGCCAGAAAATGTATTTTTGGCTTATGTGGATGAAAGACAACAACTCCCAGAATGCACTTGCTTCACTGCCCTAGGAGGCCACGCCTACCGGTAACAGAGTGCAGTAGGTAAACAACAAGTCTAGGCTACTAGTGATGAGTCTGCCCGAAAATGTGTTTCGAGATCGCCCAAAATGTCCGGGATTGGGCTTTTGTTGCCATTCGTCATGTTTACTGTGGCGAGCGGGACGAGTGAGGGCCGTGTGGAGAACGGCACAAGGCCAGTGGCATGATAAGCGACACCTGTGAGACGCACCGGTCTCGTATCTTTCACGGAGGAGCGGGAATTTTCTTAGCAATGTTAAAACGCACATCAACCAATCACTTGTTTAGCGTTCATGTAAACACGACATTCAGATTCACCAATGGAATTAATTCAGTTAGATTGAAACAAAAGCTGTGCATGTAAACAATGAATGGCGACCGCAGAAAGCAAAAGCTGAATCCCGGACATCGATGGCCGGACATGTCCGGGGAAAAAGAGGATGGTAACCCCGACTACTCAGCTTTCTCCACAGAACAAGAGTCTGCTAGCTTAGCTTCCAAAAAAAGATGGCTGACACTATGTGTTCATTCTGTGAGTGAGATCGCCCTCTATGGGCGGGTTGAGGACATGCGGGACAGCCCCGACTACTGACTGTAGTCTTTAGCCTCTGGCCAAAAAATCCTCAGATGACAAAGTGACTAATTAGCTTAATGCTAAATCCTGAAGTATCCCTTTAAGAGTCCCTCAACTACCCCTGACACTTTAGAAATAAGCAGCTGTGAGCATATCAAACACAGCTCACCTTCTCAATGAGGAGTTTTTTACTCATCGTAGTGCATTTGTTCAGACGCTCCTTGAAACGTTCCAGCAGCTTCTGTTGCTCATCTATCTGTCTGCGGAGGTCACAGTTCGCCTGGGGAGAAAATATTAAAACCACTCAATTTCTGAAGTCAAACGGCACTTTGTGATTTCTGCATAAAAAGACAACTCAAGGACAGGTGGCACTCATCAGATGCTCGTCTGTTTGTTACTCACCCTGAGTAGATCATCTATTCTGCCCTCTTTCTTCTCAAGGTCAAGATTCTTATTGCTCTCAAGTGCAGCCAGTTTCAACAGTGTCAAATCCGTCTGAGAGCAGAGAAGGAAAGAGAAATAAAGAATGCAAATAAGAACAGAGATTGAGAGGGAATCCATGTTAAACTGTGCATCATACAGTGCAAGCGAGCTTGTATAATAGCATCAGAACATGAAGTACACACTAACTGCGTCAAAGTATGTTTGCCAGCGCATGCAGTGCACACATTTAACAGCATCAGCGTGTGCAGTGCTTATTTAACAGTGTCAGAGCGTGCAATGAATATTTTTATGTCACTAGGCGTGTTTCCATTACAGATTTGCGCAAAACTTTTGCAATATTTTCCAAATGTCTTTTTTTTTTAAATTTTTATTTATTTATTTAACAGGGACAATGTACAATATATGTACTGTACCAGATTTAGCTAAAAGCTAATTCTCATCTGCAGTCCCTGGGCAGGTGCCAAAAGCGTACAAAATATTACAATAACACAATAATAACCACCTAAAATATTTGATGTCAATAAAAAACTATTGCGAAATGACGGTGTTTCCATTAACCAATGTTATGCGACTAAAACATATTTTTTTCCTCTCGCGATAAGTCATTCCAAAAATCTCGGCAACGGACGTTGGTATGTTTATAACCTTTATCACAGCCACGCACCGCACTAGACATTATTATTATTATTAATGAAAGGAGACGTGGTGTGTTATCTAAGCATCAATGGCAGGGAAAGACACGGAGTTCCTGGGTGTTTCTCCCTTATTTCTGCTTCGATGTCTTGATGGCATTTCTTTGAGGTTTAGAGAGGCTATTCCTGTAATTATTGTTTCTTAATAAAGAACTCTGTCTCGTATTATGTCCAAAGGATCGTTGCAAAACGAAAAATGAACGGTTGTTGTATTTTTAAAAACGTAAAGTTGAACACCAACATTTTAATCTGACCACACCAGCGCTATATAGGCTACATCTCAATGAATTTTCAGATATTTGTTTATGACTTTTTCCCCCTTTAAAACATTTAAAACATTCACAAATTAATATGGGAAAAAAAATTTGATTTTACTGGTTTTCTAAGGCCAAATTAGAAGCTGGAAATGATATTTTTCCCGCAATGCTGTATGTAGGCTATAAATGCGTCTGAAAAAAGAACCATAGTATATATTTTTTCCTACGATGGAAGTCAATGAGACCAGAAACGGTCTGGTTACTGATATTCTTCTAAATATCAGAAAATCGGCTGAATGGATTCAAAAACGGTGAAACACAACTGTTTAACTCTGGGGGAGTTGTAAAATGAGCCTATTTCCAAAAAAAGTGGAGTATCCCTTTAAAATACTAATGATACTTTTTAATAAAAGTATAGTACAAAGTTTTCATTTAGACCCTAAAGATTCATATTAACTTGTGCAAAAATGGCATTAAATGACCCCTTTAACAGTATCTCAAAGTGCAACCGAGCGCAGTGTCCTGCACACTGACAAGTTTAACAATCAGAAAAAGCAGGGCATATTCGATGTGACGCAAGTATTACCTGGACACTTCTGCTGCTAATCTGTTTTGAATTCATCATGTGATCCATGAAACACAGGCTGGTGGGTGAGGAGCTGTTCTGTCTGACCTGAAGAGTGAAAAACAGCGACATTAGTAAAAAATAAGCATCACTGGTTCCTTGCTGATGTTTAGATCTTCCTCACGACTTACGATAGCCCCAGGTGCAGAGTGAGAGTTCTGTGGCGAGCGCAGGACCGGAGGAAGACCCCTGACTGGACTTGATCCGTTTCCTCCTTGGAACTTTAGGAAGGAGATATGCCATGTTTTTTAAAGGCACCACACAACATACTAACAAGGATGTGGCGTCATCACAATGTTACCAATTTCACAACTCTACAAGTCAAAACATCTCCTAAAGCGAGCAGCCATTACACGATGAAGAAGCAGCAGTACTCTGACTAATATGGAAGCTTATGTCATTTAAAATGTAATATGCAAAATGAAAATGAAATTTCATAATTTACATTTGCCATTTCATACACTAGTTTTAATATGCATATTGAAACGCTTTATTAGTGGCAAAATTAAAATGAAAATGCATTACAGAAATGATTAGACTGTTATTGATTATAGTGTTGTTGCCGAGCCCCGCCTTGATGCAGTGATTGACAGGCCAGGAGGGGGCGTGATCGAATCGGAATGCATTTTCAAAGTGCACATTGAACATGTTACACATACCTAATCATTTCTGTAATGAATTTTCATTTTAATTTTGCCACTTATAAAGAGTCTCAATATGCATATTAAAACTAGTGTATGAAATGGCAAATGTAAATTATGAAATTTCATTTTGCACCAAACGTTGCTAGAATGATAATGTAAAATGTAAATTTAAATACAAAATGCAATGCCATTTTACATATTGCATTGTCATTTTGCATATTACATTTCAAATTGAATAATGCTACACACAAGCTTCCATAGACTAAAAGCTCTCTGACACCTGACTGACATTTAATACACAGCTGACTAAACGCAGGGTCATCCACACAAAGCTTTACTCACATCAAAATAATCGCTGATCTTGGGCCCTCGGCCGGAAGACTTTCCTGAAAAAAAAAAAAAGTATGGTCAATGGATACAATCACTTTTCTGTGAGTGCACTGCATTATTTCCATGCTAAAAATTCAATGCTGTATTTTCCAAAAAAAAAAAAAAAAAAAAAAAAAAAAAAACATGAAGCATATGACTCTGATCCTGGGTGTTTTCAAAATACAGGTCTGTTAACTGATAAATGTGGTTGTCAAACAAGCTATTATGTCCCACAGGAAGTCAATGTTACCTTGACTGCTCTCTGATTGGTTATCAACCTTCCTCTTTCTTCCCCTGGATGACTCGGAGTGCTTCTTCTCTGGGGTCTTGGGAAAACAAGAAAAAGCATTACTAAATCAATTCTTCCATTCACTAAATCAATACAAATCAATGTAAATGCTTTTGGTAAGTTCCATCTAAAGCTGAATTCAGCCCTCAAAGGAGTTGTAAAAGTTTCACCAAAGAGGCTTCCAGACATCATTTACCATGTCAATCCAAACCCGTTTGGCTTTTTTATTAATATCCAGCTCTTTTCAATGTTATAAATATGAATGAATATGTCCAAGTGCAGTCAAGCTTCAAAATGACAATCAAACAATCATAAAAGCAATTCATAAGAGTTTTGCGCTTAGAAAACAAAGAATAAAATTACATTGCAGGAGGAAGGAACTCAAAAATAAGTTATTACTGAAAATCTTCTCTCCACTACAGCTTTCAAATTATGGCACGTCAACTTTAACATCTAAGATATTATATCACATAACTGTATCTTTATATATATATATATATATATATATATATATACACTACCGTTCAAATGTTTTAGATCAGTAAGATTTTTTATGTTTTGAAATGAAGTCTCTTCTGCTCACCAAGGCTGCTTTATTTGATGAAAAAAAAATAATAATGACAAACAGTAATATTGTGAAATATTATGACAATTTAAAATGACTGTTTTCTATTTTCTATTTCTATTTTCTTTGAAAGCTGAATTTTCAATATCATTACTGTTGCTGATTACACATCAGTTTTCAGTGTCACATGATCCTTCAGAAATCATTCTGCTGATTTTATGCTCAAAAAACATAAATTATTATTTTCAATGTTGAAAACAGTCGTGTACCATTTTCCCCCAAAATTCTATGATGAATAGAAAGTTCAAACGAACAGCATTTATTTAAAATATAATCTTTTCTAACGTTATAAACGTCTTTACTGTAACTTTTGATCAATTTAACTCATCCTTGATGAATAAAAGTATTTTCTAATTTCTTTCCCCCCAAAAAAAAAAAAAAATCTTACTGACCCCAAACTTTTGAATGGTAGTGATTAATGTAACAAAAGCTTTCCATTTCAGATCAATTCTGTTCTTTTGAACTTTCTATTCATCAAAGAATCCTGAAATAAAAATGTAAAAAACTGTTTTCAACATGGATAATAATCATAAATGTTTTTTGAGCATCATATTATAATAATTTCTGTAGGATCATGTGACACTGAAGAAGACTGGAGTAATGATGCTGTAAATTCAGCTTTGATTGCAGAAATAAATTACACTTCACTATATATTCACATAGAAAAATCGCTGTTTTAAATTGTAATAATATTTCACAATATTACTGTTTTTTTTGTATTTTTTATCAAATAATTGCAGCCTTGGTGAGCAGAAGAGACTTCTTTTAGAAAACATAAAAAAATCTTACCGATCAAAAACTTTTGACCGGTAGTGTATGTAATTTTTAAAAAAAAGTATAGTCACACAGCACAAAATTGTCAAACTTACTGAATAGGCAGGCGATCCTCCTTTCTTTATGTCAGAGTTCTTTATGGGAATGAAAAAAAAGTACTTTTTAAACACATGGACAAACTGTTAAAGCTATAATTATAAAATGTCAAATCTTTGAGTATACATGTCCATAAGGTTCACCTCAGACTCCTTGTCACTAGATGACCCCAGGCTGCCAAAACTGTGACTAGAACATTCGTTATTGTTCAAACCCTAGAAAAAACCAAAAGCAATATAAAGCAGGTTTAGTCCAGATCATGACAGAGAGCTCAACAATTTTAAATATTCACACTGATTTCACTGGTGAAACTAAATTAAAGGGGTCCTTTTATGCTTTTTTTACATGTTCAACTTCCTTTAGGTTATAATTCTCTATATCAGTGTCAAGTATGTGAGTGGATAACAGATAAATAAATATGGATAACAGATAAAACTGTGTAAGACTTGGTAAGTTCAGTTCACTTCACTGTGAATCGATTCAATCTTTAATTCAATGATTCAGAATAAAGTCCATGCATTGGAAGTTTCAATCCTTAACCCCCCAAAAAATGAATATGTAGGTACATTTTGCTTTTTATTACTATATATTGTTGAATTGATGCACATAAAGTGAGCAGATTCTTATTGGTGTTCATTTAGTGAAAAATTCTAATGAAATTAATTTGTGTGGGAAACATTTCAAACAGCTTTATACATTAAACATGGTTCAATTAGTTGAATGATGCTTGAATGATTCAGTTTAACAAGGGGTGTAACGATACCCTCGTGTCACGATTCGATACATATCACGATACTGAACTCACGTCACGATACGATATTATTGCGATACTCCAAGACGTGGTAAAAATTAACAAAAAATGCACTGTTGATTAAAATGCTAAATTTGATATTACATTGTGGGTGTAAATGAATAGGCTTGGACTCGGTGCTTGTAACCCAAGGACAATGGTGACACCAGAATAACAATATTCAAGATTCTGAAGCTGAAAATACAGAATAATTTTAGATGAATATGCTTGCACTCTGTCACTGACTAAATCTATTTAAAATAATGTCGGCCACTTTTTATTGGCAACCTCAGACATTTGGCATCATCAGGACCCACATATTTTGCCCCATTGCATTATATTACATTATAATCAACATTATAGTTTAATGTAGTACTAACACTAAAACTCTGAAAACTTGAATTTTTTCTCACACAGTAATTTTTATTTTGAGTGAACTATCCACGATACATTTTTGTATATATTGAGGCACCCCTAAAAATAACCCATTTTGCCATTTTAGAGAAAGCATCAACTAAAATATATAATCAAATTAATAAAATATAAATAATAACTTATATGATGCTGCACATGTGTGTGTGTGTTTGAATGTGTGTGCATTACCTTAGGTCCCCCACTCGCGCTCCCCGTGCTTCCTCCTGTGTTTCCACTAACCGCCCCGATGAAACGTGCCTCCAAGAGCTCCTGCCGACGTGGATCCAGGGAATGCAGCTCATCCATTCCTACAAACACAGACAAACATGTCACGCTCAACACATTCACACACAGGTACTCAGGCTTCAGGTTCGGGAGGGGTGTGATCACGGTGACGCATCCTCCTGGACTCTTACGGGACCTTCAAGTCATTGTTTTTGGATCCTATGCCACCCTAAAAGAGCCAAAAGATCATACTTATTACAGATTTGAAGGCAAACCAAGAACTTAGGTTGTTAGTTCTGCTCACAAAAAAAAAAGAATAATAATAATTACACATTTAGTCCTGGTCCGCTTAGCGTTCAGATTGGGATTTTAACACCGAACCTAAAGATACTGAACCTAAAGGCAAAGGGATTTGCTCACAAACCGATTGGTCGGCTTTCGTTATATATTTCTTGGGTATATTACTTGGTGTGTCCCAGCCTCAAGACATCCACCATCCTTCAGATCTGACTATGCTCAAGCTTCTTAAAACCAAAAAAAAAAAAAAAAATGTATCTGCTTTTAGCCATTTTCATTCAAACTTCAGCACAGCTTCTTCCTGCGGAATGACAAACAGAAAGTACAATGAGAGGTTTCCTGCTCATTATCAGCTGATGCCCCTGACAGTTTAGCTCCATTCATCTATTTTAGTCTCAGAAAATAATGACGACACAATCTACAGAAAAAAACTAAATGCAAATTAAAGTAAATACATTTGAGTGTTTTTCACTATGACCTCAATTTTACATCTTCAATTTGGTGGCATAGACTACTCTACATACACTACCGTTCAAAAGTTTGGGGTCAGGAAGATTGAAAAATAATTATAATAATTAATAAAAGACTTAATTATCAAAAAAGATTTACATTTCAATTAATGCTGTTCTTTTGAACTTTCTATTCATCAAAAAATCCTGCAAAACATTCATCACAGTTTCACAAAAATTATTAAGCAGCGCAACTGTTATCAAGATTGATAATAATCAGAAATGTTTCTTGGTCTTCAAAGCAGCATTTAAGAACGATTTCTTAAAGGGATACTCCACTTTTTTTGGAAATAGGCTCATTTTACAACTCCCCCAGAGTTACATAGTATCAGTAACCAGTAGGAAAAAATATACTATGGAAGTCAATGAGACCAGAAACGGTCTGGTTAATAATATTCTTCTAAATATCAAAAAATCGGCTAAGTGGATTCGAAAACGATAAAACTCAACTGTTTAACTCTGAGGGAGTTGTAAAATTAGCCTATTTCCAAAAAAAGTGGAGTATCCCTTTAAGGATCATGTCATGTGACACTGAAAATACAGCTTTACCATCACAGGAATAAATTACAATACATTCATCCCTTTTTTTACTTTATTTTTGGACAAAATAGATGTAACTTAAGTAAGTATAAAATAATGTTCTTAAGAATTCGGATGGAAAGAAATTCTATAGCAGTTCTTTTCAATGAATAACAATTTAAATCGGGCTCCGGTCCTCACACAAAGCCCTTGTATGACTTCATAAGACCTGTCATTGTGCATTAGTTCGTTATACATGAGTTTTTGTGCATGCAGTCTACATGAATAATTGCTGAATTTGAAAAAAGTGATACAGAAAAATTAAAGCATACAGGTTTGGAACAACATGAGAGTGTGAGTAGCCTAAATAATGGAAGAATTTTTTTTGGGTGATTGAACCATTCCTTTAGTTTAACATGATCTGGCACCAGAAGCCCAATGACAGAATTCATCATTGATGCCGCTGCCAAATGGCCCCGTTTCTTCAACACATGAGAATACAGTATCAGCAGCCGAGAAGACCAATGTGAATCATCATTATAAAACCTGTCTAAAAGAATCATCTGGTCTTCAAACCTCATTACAGTGAGTGACTAGACGAAACAGGCCGGGTTCACTTGTGTTCTCCAGCCGTAATCACCTGCGCTGCGCACTGGAAGCGTACGACACCACTGCCATGATAAGATTCGTGCCAGAAAGAGCTGCAAGCCAAAGAGATCCCAAGATGGTGGATGGGTGGAAAATTATGAAGGTCAACAGGGCAGGAAGAGCACAGCTGCCCAGATAAAGGACATCCATGACAAATCAAAATACTAGGAATGAGTATACGCAAACCTAAGGCCACGTCGGGTTTGGCAAATAACCCAAGTACCGATTGGCTACATTAGGGAGACAAAGATCCAAACGTGCAGAAGGTGGAAAAATGAGTACAAGCAAATGACCAGGAAACAAACACACCACATCCTAGTGTGTGCAGCGATACACAGGTGACTGAGCCAGAGCCGTCAAGATATCATATTATAAACCACCGTCTTACGGATGAGTATTAAACAAACATGGTAACACCTCACAATAAGATTACGTTTGTTAACATGAACTATTTTATTAAACTTTCATTTTAATCCCAACGGTCTCTATCTGTGCTAATATTATTTAATGGACCTGAGCTGACATGAACTAACAATGAACAGTTGTATTTTTATACCCATAACTTTAAGAAAGGTTGTATTATTTTCTAGTGGAAGTACCATGGTATGATCTTGCACATCTTTTAAATCTGATGTTGATTTGATTTCACAGCCAATTGTTTAATTTCAGTGAGAATTTATTTCGGCCATTCATGAAACATCAACCGTTCGTATTACATGCTCAAAAATTCATTCCTGGGGTAAATCTTAATTTAATTTCTATTAGCATCAGACGTTAATAGCATTGCACTTCAATATACTACTCTTCAAAAGTTTGGGCTCGCAAGAGTAAATCTCATATGCTCACCACGGGTGGATCTAATGAATCAAAAATACAGTAAAAACTACTAGTAATTTTGGGAATTATTATTACAGTTTATAATATCTGTTTTCTGTTGTAACATATATTTTATTCCTGTGATCAAAGCTGAATCTTCAGCATTATTACTCCAGTCTTCAGTGTCCCATGATCCTTTAGAAATCATTCTAATTTGATGATTTGCTGCTCAAGAAACACTGCTGCTTCATAATTTTGTATTTTTATTCAACCAGTGATACGTTTTTGGTATATAAAGTGACATATTGTGGTAGTTTTATTCAATGAATAGTACTAGTTTGTTTGTTGTTTTATTTGTTTTGTTTTTTTTTATTAGAAAAGCCTTCCTAGGGAGCTGAGATGCAAATTAGCTCTTGCTATACTCCATGTACAATACATATTTTCCAGCTTTGACTGGAATCATGTTTTTTTTTTTAAACTGTCCCTCCCTATATAAATAAACTGAAAAAAAAAAATACTTTTCAGAATTTTTTTATGAATAGAAAGTTTAATTTTTGTAACATTATACAGAATAGATATCCATAAAATGGAACTACATCCTTAACCATTGTACTTTTTGGTTTGGTAAGCAGGTAAAAGAGATTACACTCTTTCAAATCATTTAAAAAAAATAATAAAGGCAGAACATGCATTACATGGCTAAGAACTTATTCTTGGACATGAGAATCTGAGTAATGCATTAACACACATATGATATTACACTCATCAGTGCACATATGCAGGTGTTTAAAGCACAGTCTGATAAATAATGCAGGAAGCATCCGGTGAAACACTCTAATTTCCTCAAAAACTAAATTTTGCAAAACTTAATCTGAAAAAGCACTTGAATTTAAATCAGCTGTGTATCAGATGGTCTTTTACTAAGTGGATCAAAGTCATCCAGATGATTTCAGGAAAAACCAACAAGTCAAGCTGCAATAATAACACAAAAAAACTACAATGACCAAAGAGTCAACAGCTCTCCAGCACAATTTGAGCATTGCATGAATTAGATAAATAAATAGGCTGATACTCAATCATAAAAATTCATGTTTATCAGATGTGCCCAAAATTATACCATTGTATAAAGCATTTCTGAGCCATTGCATTGCACACAAAACACTCAAAGCACATAAAGAACACCAACTAACGTGTATTTACTAGATGTGTCTCAAAACCTAGTCTGTTGCCAGTAGACATCATTTTGGGCCACGACTAGATAAAGACATCAATACTTTCACCCAGAGAAACACAAAATCATGTTTATTGTAATAAAATCCAGGAAGTTCTCTACGTGTATTGACTTCATTCGCAAACATTTAAAATCAACTTGAGTTAATATTGAACCGCCTAGGCGCCTACCTATAACATTTGTTATTGCATGCATGCAGTCATACACACTCGAGCACAAAAAACATCAACTCATAATGTATCATTTACTGGCTGTGCCTCAAGAGCTAGTAAACAGACAGCAGTTTGTGCCATTGCATTGCATGCATGCATGCATAAATGACAAATGCATACAGTCAACCTTAAAAAATGTCACCTAATGTTTGTCAGGTCTATCAACCTGGACAGCATTTATGAGGCACAGCATGACATGCATAGAGCAACTCATGTTTATCACACACTGACAGCATCCTAAAAGCCAGCGTGACCTAACATTTTTGGGGCTGTTGCATTCCATGCATGCAGCATACATTCTCATGTTTATCAGATACTTAACTATAAAAACACAAAATCATATTTATTGTAATGAAATCCAGAAAGTTCAATATGTGCAATGTTGACTTCCTTCTCACAAATTAAACATCAACTTGTGTTGATATTGAAACGCCAATCTATTTTACAGTAATTTATAGCATAAGATAAAATCATCAACTATGTACATCATTTACCGGCTGTCTCAAAAGCTAGTAAACAAGACAGCATTTGTGCCATTGCATTGCATGCATGCATAAGTGACAAATGCACACTTGTCAACATTAAAAATGTCAGCTAATGTTTGTCAGGTACTGGATGTGTCTACCAACCCCAAGACAGCATTTTCGGGCCGTTGCATTCCATGCATGGGTGATAAACATTCTTAAGTTTATCAGGTACAGGCTGTGTCTCATTTGCGAGCCATTGCATGACATACATTAAAGATAAACATACACTCTGAACCTCAAAAACATCAACTCGTAATAATCAGAGACTGGTTGTTTCTATGAATCTAGCGAGCTGCCTACCTAGACACAAAGACAGTATGTTGTGGGCATCATAAAAACAACACAAAAATAAGCACCCGTGATGCCCCAAAATGCAGTCTGAGAAGACGCCTCGCTAGTGACAGACTAGAGTCCCCTAATATGTGACCATGGGCATCCTCACGTCAAATGAACCGTGTAAATCAACACACGAAGCGACAGGATTCCATCGCAAACGGTTTAAAACACACCAGCTCATCTCTAGGACTCGATGCTAGTTCTAAAAACACAGAGAGAGACACAGTCAGCAGACGAGAGATCAGCGGCCTCCGACACGACCGCTTCGATTAAAGGCCAGATTTACTCAAAATCACACGTCAATCGAACACAATCCCGACCGATTTCACATGAACAGACTTTAAATTGATATTCACGCCGGCTTTACCTTCTTTGTGCCTCCTCGGAGCGCAGATATCGAGCGGAGAAACTGAGCCCGGGGTCGGAGATCCAGTCGAGAACTGAGAGCAAGATGGCGCTCCGTCCAAACTTCCACTGCTGTTGCTGTTACTTTGGACACTCATGAAGACACTTTCCCCCGCGAAGAGCGCATCGCACACATGATCTCCGTCAAATCACACCTGTGTGTGTGTGTGTGTCTAATGCATCATGCACGAACACTGATAATCAATGCAAGGCTGCTCATGTTTTCAGCTCCGCACTGCGCACTGAGATCCTCACTAACTCACTCTTAGTGTGTGTATGTGTGTGTGTAGCCGATGCATGACGCCAGTTGCAAAGGTTACACACACACACACACTGCAAAACTTCAAATCCACGTTTGATGCTTGCTTCTAGAAAATTCTTTTAAATATGAATATTATAATAAGTGAGCATATGTATGAGCAGACATTAATACTCACCAAATAATGCATCCATAAACATATTGATTTACATGCAATGCATTATATATTGAGTGGACTTGATATTTTGTTTTCCCAAATAGAAACAGGACAGAAGAATGAGTGGTTAGTTATTGTCCAATAAATATTTGATGATATTACACTTGAAGGTAACAATTAGGTTAACATACACTCTAAAAATGCAGGGTTGTTTTAACCCAACTTTGGGTCAAATATGGACAAACTCAAACATTGGGTTATTAAAAAAAATAACCCAATGACTGGGTTTGTCCATATTTGACCAAAAAGTTGGGTTAAAACAACCCTGCATTTTTTAGAGTGTAGTATATAGTTATTAATATACGCCTATATGTAACAGGTGTAACACTGTAAAATAAAGAGTCACCAACAATCACTATTAAATAAATATAATGCCAAATATATAATTTATAAAAATATAATATATTTAAATTATATTAAAAATGTACAAGCATCATCACAAAAGAGGTTATTAAGTAAATGTGTTCATTAGAACTAGCCTGCTAATGCAATGTAAAGTGTGTTTTTTAATTTAGTGGATAAAACTTCCTAATGTGTGTGTGTGTGTGGTTGTCTATGCAGGTTTACACAGACATCTTGATCTGTGATTTGCTGACTCAGAGATCTGCCCAGCACTGAGCTTTACCCTCTGAACGGCTCCAGACACATATTTCACAACACACACACATCACGCTAAAGTTATCGTCCTCTGTCTCAACTCACCACAGAGGACTTCACTGGAATAAGTGCACTCATTATATATTCTGCTGAACTGAAGAAAATTTCAAATGCAAATGTTCACATCAACAGCTGTGTCGGTTCATAGGGTTGACCATGAATAGATCCCGCTGCTGAATCACACTAGATTCTTGACGAGGAACTGCTTTTTGTCATCTGACCGGAAATGTGTCAGGTTTTGTCCTCCTTCACAATCTGAAGGTGTTCATGGAATATTCTGTCACAGAGTCTACAATTTCCACAGACATAATTTCACCCCCACCATAAAGTTATTAAAGGAAAATAATGCATCAGCTGTACTAAAGAAATATACACACTGTTATCCTATTGAGGTAGTAATCTGAGTTACCAGTAAATGTCTTGCTGAAGGGTAAAATGGTGCCATAAGTCATCATGCCTTGCTCTTTGTTGTACTAGACGTTGCATTTATCAATCTTTAGTCATATGCCACACCAAACCACGTCCAATGTACAATAGTCTCTTCCTCAGATGACGCCCATTAACCCTCTTTATTTTCTCACCTTCTTTTGGTGTGATTACGCTAAAAAAATATTTGGTACAATGAACTCTTTGTTAATGATGTATTGCAAAAGTCTTTTGCTGCTATCGAGGTGTATACGGGTTTGGTGGTATGTGCATGGGTTAAGATGTAAGGGAAAGGGTTACAGCTGTAATTGCATGCAGGTATTTTTTTTTTTTTAAATATAAGTACAATATAAAAACACTATAAGTGTATTGCATCAAATGATTCATTTAAATTGTAGTATTTTAATATATTTTAATCCCTATAAATCATAAGGAGTGTCTCAGAACAAACCATTTGCAGATTGTAGCTTCTGTGACGTCACAAATGCTTAGACTCCGCCCATGACTGCTGACGGACTCTGTCGTCTGAAGCGAAGCAATGCGTTCGTGTAAGAAAAATTGCATGGGTGTCAGTTTCGTTGGAAATGCGGCGGGGACAGATACGTATTCGGAAGGGCATTTTCAAAAGTGCTGGGTACAATGACTGGGCAGGTCTTGTTTTGAAAGACAATGTCCTATCGCTTACTGATGTAAATAAATAAAAATGCACTTTTATCATGAATAGATGCACTTTTAACATGGATAGATGCACTTTTATCATGAATAGATGCACTTTTATCATGGATAGAAGCACTTTTATCACAGATAGAGGCACTTTTATCATGAATAGATGCACTTTTATCATGGATAGATGCACTTTTATCATGGATAGAGGCACTTTTATCATGAATAGATGCACTTTTATCATGAATAGATGCACTTTTATCATGAATAGATGCACTTTTATCATGAATAGATGCACTTTTATCATGGATAGAGGCACTTTTATCATGAATAGATGCACTTTTATCATGAATAGATGCACTTTTATCATGAATAGATGCACTTTTATCATGAATAGATGCACTTTTATCATGGATAGAGTGCACTTTTATCATGAATAGATGCACTTTTATCATGGATAGAGGCACTTTTATCATGAATAGATGCACTTTTATCATGAATAGATGCACTTTTATCATGGATAGAGGCACTTTTATCACGGATAGAGGCACTTTTATCATGGATAGATGCACTTTTATCATGAATAGATGCACTTTTATCATGGATAGATGCACTTTTATCATGGATAGAGGCACTTTTATCATGAATAGATGCACTTTTATCATGGGTAGATGCACTTTAGAATGGATAGATGCACTTTAAAATGGATAGATTCTTTATCATATAGATGATATGCATCATATAGATTCACTTTTATCATATAGATGCATTTTTATCATGTATAGATGCACTTTTATCATGAATAGATGCACTTTTTATCATGGATAGATGCATTTTTATCATGGATAGAAGCACTTTTATTGTGGATAGATGCACTTTTATCGTGGATAGAAGCACTTTTATCATGGATAGATACACTTTTATCATGGATAGATACACTTTTATCATGGATAGATGCAATTTTATCATGGATAGATCCACTTTTAAATAAGAAAATACTCTCTGTCTGACAGCCCTCAGAAAACCATATATCAGAGGTTGAGACTAATATGGCTATAAAACACATGCAGATAATGTGAGTGTGGCCGTCTTAGAGATCAAAACCAAACAGATGTTGTTTTTTTCTCGAGGCACAAGCTTTAGGCTCCGCCCTCTTCTGGAAAGTGCATGAAAACAACATGCTTTCCCTTCCACTCAAAAACTTGCAATCACAACATGGTATGATAAATGATCTTTGGGGTATTTTGAGCTGAAACTTCGCAAACACATTCTGGGAACACCTTAGACTTGTTTTACATCTTGTAAAAATGGGCATAATAGGTCCCCTTTAAGGTCTCACAGCTTTATCAGTCCTCTTTGTTTACAGTTCCAGCTGTACATAATGGACATTTTTGAGGAAGAAATTAGTTTATCAGATTTGTGGCATCATATCTTTAAAATCTTGATTTTTTTTTTTTTTTCAAACCACCTAAGAAATGTAACAAGCTCTGACTAAGATCCTACACTGCTCGGCCAAAAAGAAAGTCTCTGTTTGGATTTAAATAGGCAAATGCTTAAAAATCTAAAACTATATATAAAGTTTCAAAATATACCTGTGCATTTTGTGCCTTTCAGCTATCAGATCATATAAGCTATCCAAACTAATGTGGCAACAGGTGATGTTTGTGTCTGTTGCAGAACTATCTCCTCAGCTGCTCAGATGGGAGTGTGATTGAAATATAGTTAAACATCTCTACGCATGTTCATGCACCTGCTAACCCATAACCTGATTTTTAGTCACAGACATGTTGCCATGGGAACTACAATGGCCCTTTACAGCCATTGTCATATGGCAAAGACAAAGGAGATGTGGGTTACAGGGCTTACTCATTTACACACATATACACACACACACACACAGTCCATGAATCAAACACATGCACCAGCATGCACACACACTCATATTCAGGTTGTTATATTTCCCCTCATATATCAAATTCACAAACTTTGTGAATGAAATCACCAACTGCACTGGCAAACAGGGTGTGGTGGGAAAAAAAAAACGATGTGATGACAGCTTTATTGTCATTTGTATTGTTTTTAGCCAGCTTTGGTGTCATTCACACAATAATGCAGTTTAGGTTCTCGCGTAGCCTATGCCATGCATTACACAATTTTGAATATGCATATCATATGACTTCAGAAAACATGAGAAGTAGACTAATTTGTTGTTGCTGCTTTTGTTTGATATTCTTAAAGGAGAACTCAATTTTAACATTGGGCTCATTTTTTTGTACATTTGGAGTTTTGTCAGTACAGACAAAAAGGACAAAAATCGGTGTTGCCTACACCGTGTTATCGTCTTTTTAAAATTCGCACCCTGTTGACTTCAATGGGGCATGTTCAAAACCTGCTTTTAGCCTCTTAACATCCTTGATTTGTCATTACGAGTGCACAGCCATGTGAGTGGTGTTATTAAGAGTGACCACAGTCAATCTGGCTGCAGTAGATGTGAAAGATACGAATAAAAATGATGTTAATTCAAATTCAGCCAGCTCACATACCTCTATTTGCTCAATCGAAGCCCACAGTAGTCGATTGTCGATCTCACACCCGCGATCATATCATCTCGTCTTCTAAGGGCAAAACCTGGAAAGGATGTTTTTCCCACAGTGCTGAATCAGAAGAACCACCTGGAACCATACAGAGAGATGATTTAGGCTAAAGATAATGTGTCTGAAAAAATAACGAGCCATTTTAATTGTTTGTTTAAAAGTGGACATTTCAAGCTTTATATGTATAGTTTGATTCAGTTCATTTATGAGACGCGTTCCAGTTCACGGAGATCATGAAAGCTCGTCTGATAGTTTTATTTTATTTTACAAAAGCACTGTCGTTTTCTTGTGATGTGAGTCTGGACAAATAAAAGTAGTTGTGAATGATGTATTATTCTTTTCCGTATGACCAGAAATGATAGAGTAGCCTATTTTAAGTTGATATGACAATGTAAGTGTTTGCGCCCGCGCCTCCGTGCCATACAGTGCGCGCTCCACACTCCCACACACACTTGGATATGTGTCAAAATCTTGTGTTTATTTGTGATAATAGCCCTATTATTGTCTAACCAATTTTATGACAAAATTGCTTTGTTCCTTTTTTGGATAAAAGCACCTTCTGTAAAAGCTAAATGTAGGCTAATAATAATATTATTATCATTTGTGTTTATAAATGAGTTCACTGAAGGCAGTAATATGTTAATCATAAAATAATTTATGAATGTTTTATTTGTATATAACGGTAACCTAACCGTGTGTTTGTGTTATATTTCTTTTGTAGCCAATATGTGAAGTCTTTTTTTTTTTAATTATTATTATTATTTTTTTTTTTTTGCTTATTCTATTATACTGCTTTTTCCTCCTAAAAATTGACTTTAAAGATACAAGTAGACTAAATGTCTACTTTTTCCTACGGGGGGAGAGGCCGTGGGAACGGATTGCGAAAGCGTGGGCATGGTAACGTTAGCTAATGAATTTGTGGTAGCTGCTACTTGTGAGGGCTCTGTAGCATAATTCACTTTAGAAAAATGAAAGCTAGGTTGTGTTTTAATAATTACATATATTATTTAGCTGAGGTAAATTAAACGCAAACGCAATACTCACGTTCGTTCGTTCCTTGCTCGATGAAAGCGGAGCCCATTTGGCGGTAGATTTTTAAAAGGCTTATTTTCGCGCTCATTATTATTTTTTGTTAAATTTGTGTATTTTACTTCTTTTATCCTTAATTTTATCCTTAATTTTTAGTAATTTAATTTATTATTTTCTTTCATATTCCTTCCTTATCGTTTTAATTTCTAATATTTTTATTTTGTGTTGTGTTCAAAACACAGGGTTCAAAATGAAGTTCAGCACTAATTAGTCAAGTTAAAGTGCGACATCTAGTGGTGACTTTATGAAACGCCGCATCCGCTCAGTTTGAGAAAAGCACCTCACGGCACCCGTAGCCGCATCCCAGATTCAGCGCTGCCGCTGCTGTCACAACAGAGAAAGAGGATAATAAGTTATTAGTCCGCTGACAGAAGAATAATCCTATTCATACCGACCCCAAGCCGCAAACATTTTGTTTCAAGTAAGAATAATGTTTTCTCTATTAATGTAGGGATTCTGGCGTTAAAATTAAGTATTGTGTGTTTTAAAGGCGATGAACTGCATTGATTCATGAGGCCGTCTGACGTGTGCGTTAACTGTCATTATAATGACTTATGCAGTCTTACTGAAATTGATTTAAAACGAAGGACAAAATGAATTTCTAATGCATTTGGTTATTAAACATCAATTCAAATGGTTTGGGTGGAAAAAAGAAACATAAATACACAGCTGATGCAACTGTATACAAATTATGTATTTAATGAATGCGCTTTCGGATCAACAGTCATGCGCACGCAGTTTAAACATGTTATCAATAAAAAAGTAATTATGCTTTTAAACGAATGATTTTATGTTAGTTTGCGAGCTTTCACCGGGCGGGTTTGCTATGTAGCCATATTGACTGACCATCCGGGACTCTTACAGGAGTGTCCCTTGTGTGTGTGTGTGTGTGTGTGTGCGCGCGCGAGCGCGTGTCACTGGGATAAACAAACTCTTCTCATGTCTAGCCGCAGCGAGATCATTTAGTAAACAAACATAATAAAGATTATTTGATATAATGTACAATTATAAGAAGTTAGTTGGTAAATATGCCTATCTTTTATTAATGTTATTCCGTTATACTGAAAACAGGGCTGTGAGGAATTCGGTACTGGAAAAACTTACTGTAGTTCCAGTTCAGTTACTAAATTTAATTTAGTGTGGCAGAGAATTGTAGAATCATATTTTGAGGCAGATGTAGATGAGATCTCTGATCACCAAAATAAAAAATTTTCTTGAAAAAAATTTCTTCATACCTTAAAATAGCTTGAATGTAACTCGACATCCTTGCCTCAGTTTGTATACTGTTCTATGAATATGCTAATGAGCCCCGCCTCCACTCACACAGCTCAGAGATCCACTCGCTGACGATCACACATTGATCTGATTGGTTGCAAGGTCGTATGTGACGTCAGAAACACTAGCAATTTCACACAGTGTTTTTGAGACCATCTTTGGTTCAGTTTTAAGGAGAAAATATCCTTGTGAATTTACACATGGTTTGTCTTAAAGCATATTAAAAACACCAGATATACACATACTGTAAACAACATTAAAAGCTGGATTTTGACCACAGGGGGACTTTAAATGTGTGTGTCTGTCTGCAGAATGTCTGACAAAAGTGAGCTGAAAGCAGAGTTGGAGAGAAAGAAACAACGCCTGGCCCAGATCAGAGAGGAGAAGAAGAGGAAAGAGGAAGAACGCAAGAAGAAAGAGGTGAGCTGTGGACTAACCTGTTGTGATTTATACTGAATCTGCCTGTTATACTGGCAATGTTTTATATTTTGTAATAAATGGATTTTGAAATTCAATTCTCCCTCTCTCTCTCTCTCTCTCTCTCTCCTGAAGCTGGATGGCCGGAAGGAGGGAGCGTCTCCCCCGCAGGATGACTCTGATCTGGAGAGGAAGAGGAGGGAGGCAGAGGCTCTGCTGCAGAGCATGGGGATAGTGGATGCCTCCATGGGTATGAAACAACAAAGCAGCATGGGAAATTATATTAGGTTTTTGTCATAAAAAGCATGCTTTTATCATTAGTAATCTACAACCTTCCAAAAAAAACAAAAAAAAACATATCATGATCTGGATCTTTTGTTAGATCTTGATGCTCATTTTTAAACTTTCAGAACTCAAAACCTTATTTCCAATCAGAAAAGACTATATATTGAAACTATACAGCAAAAAGTACTTGTTCTACCACTTGTTCATCAAACAGATTAACACATTAACACATTAAAGGGGTCATGAACTGGCTTTTTAAATTTTATTATATTGTTGTTTGAGGTCAACTTATGATGTTCGCTTGGTTTTTGCATTCAAACACATCAAAATGAATAAGTAATAGGCTATTTTCCAGTGTTGTAGTCGAGACCACCTCACTCAAGTCCGAGTCGACACCGAGACCAGAGAGAGTCGAGTCCAAGTCAAGACCGAGTCCATAGAGAGTCGAGTCCGAGTCGAGTCCGAGACCAGAGACGGTCGAGTCCGAGTCGAGACCAGGACCAGTGAGGGTTGATTACCTAATTTACTTTTAATTACTTAGAGAAATCCTTTTTTTTTAGTTTTAAAAAATATGATCAGTTTAGGTTAAAAAGGCCACATAGTAGGTGGTGTTAAAAGTAATTTTATTACAATTTGTCATGCGCAGTTGAAAATCTAGAAAATCACCAATCACTGGGCGTGTCAATCAATTTAAAGAAACATTTTATTAACATACATTAATAATCATGAAAAATATTTTGAATTGAACTCGAGTGGACTCGGGAATAAGTCCGAGTCCTAAAAAAAAATAATGTTCGAGTACGAGTCAATTCCGAGTCCAAATGGACACGAGTCCATGACAAGACCAAGACCATTAAAATATGGTCTCGAGACCGAGACGAGTCCGAGTCTCGAGTACTACAACACTGCTATTTTGTACCCTAGTTTTGAGCCTAGCTGAAAAACGCTGGGTTTTTATGGGCGTCTCGCACTGAAGACTTGGAAGTAAACGCCCACTGCTGTGATTGGATAACAGTTTTGCATATTATAATGAGTTTCGACTCACCCGTCGATGCACTTGGGGGAAATTGTTTTGAAAACATCCAATGTTGTAAAATGGCAACCGGAATGATTCACCCATACATGTTCGACCCAGAGTCCGTGTGTTGCACAATTCCTGTCAGATCCGATATAGACGGCACAGCACCGTCCTTTACTCTTAATCGCTCTGCAAATCCAGTCTTGTTTACAAAACAACTCTCAGTGAAATGAAGCGAACAGACAGCTGGAACGTCATTAAAAATAACGTTTATCAGACTGTCTTCTTCCACAACCAGGCGCTGCACAAAATTTTGTATTGCTTGCTAACTAGATCCGGTTTGTCATCACAAGATAGGCATCTATGTTATTTAGCTATGTGTGTAATGCGCGAATCGGTGGGCGGGGCTAAACTGGCCGTGTTGAAGTAGGCGTTGATCTTCCTCTTCGGGGGTGGGGTTTTATCCTCTTTGACGTCATCGTTCCCCGAGTCGTTTGCTGAGCCTGGTGTCAATAAAAGCTTTTATTGGACTAACAAGGACGTTTTCAGTTTTGAAACTTACAGGATATTCTTATAATATGATGACCTCTTAGATGTCAAAAGCTCAAGGGAAATTTGATTTCTCAGTTCATCACCCCTTTAACAAAATAGTTTGGTTTGGTTTGGAATGAGCACTAATGTCTTGTATAACGCATGTGGATCCTGCATGAATATTAACCACTGCCCTTTTTTGTCTTCTCTTTTTTTGTGTGTGTGACTCAATCCTCTTTGATTTTGCTGCTTCTTTGTGTTTCTCGCACCATCCTCTTGCTTTTTGTTGCTTACCTACTTTTTTTATTCATCAATGTGTTTATGCTCTTTTTAACCCCAAACACCCCCTTATCGCCCTGCTTATGCTTGTGTGCGTAGTGCAACCTCTGCGTGTGGTAACGGAGGATACGTGTCTGTTTCACTATTTAGTCCCCCCTCCCATGTCCCCCTCTGCCAAATCAGTGGACACACCCAGCGAAACGGGCAGCCAGGACTCGGGAGACGGTGGCACGGGGCCGAGGTGAGACGCACACACATAAACACACACACACGTGTTCATGATAGAGAACATCACAGACACTAGCGGTGGAGGGAATGACCCAAATCTTACGTCACGGGAAGTATAAACACTACCATTCAAAAGTTTGGGGCAAGTAAGGTTTTAAAAAACATATTTTTAATGAACAAGGATAAACAGACATTTATAATGTTGCTTTTTCAAATAAAATCCTAAAATAATGCTCTTTCCGTCAAGCATCTTCCCTTCTTTCTTTCAAAAACCTCTTAAAATAATTTTTTTTCTCTGAATATTACTCTTCAGCTCTTTGTCTGTGAATTGAGGGAATGCATTTGACACGTCACTTTCCCGCCAGAACAACCCCCATCAGCCTGACTGAGTGGCAAAAGATCTGCTGCGTGACTGGATTTAATAGGGGAAGCTGCGAAAATGCGACTAAAACGAACAATTTGATCAATTTAAACTAAATGTTGCTGGACTCAATTTAGTGTTCCTTACAACTTACTAAAGATCCAGTGATCCATGGATATTGACATGCAGTCAGGAATCGTGTTGCCTGACATTTATGTTTGCCTGATTTCGACACTGGGGAAATAAAGCAATATAGACCTAAACATAAAGCTAATTTGCCTGTGAATGCTTTATATAAATACAATATAGGTCTAAATCCGGGTGATCACTGTGATCACACAGTGTTATATCATCATATCGTCCAGCCCTAAAACGTATAGTTTTTTTTTGGTCAGTGTTTATTAAAAACATCCAATAATGCAGAATATGCAATGATAAACATTTAATTGATGAGTTGTTAATATATATAACGGTATGGTGTAGCATATTGACACAAAATGATAACTGCAAATCCACCTTTGGCTCACTGGAGTCGAGTTGTTTCTGTGAATTGCAGCGATCCATTTTCTCCTCTTTCTATCGCAGTCTGTAAAAATATGCCTCCGATTTTTTTGTCAAATCTAGTTGTACAGTCAATCGCAAAGCTCTTTCCCACTTTATATGTGTTGTGTTTGTTTTTCGCGGCATTCACACTAATAACAAATACAGCCGCTCAGTCTTTTTGCCACTCACTGTGAGGAACTGCAGGCACTCCGGCCGACGGTGATGTCACGCGCATTGTTGTGGATGTTTGTATTTTGTCTGTAATCCTCTTACCTAAATGTGTAACGCAACCGTGGGCTTTGGAAAGGTGCTGTAAAAATTTAAGTTATTATTGTTACTACAATTGTACAGTTTTACTGTATTTTTGATCAAATACATGCAGACTTGTGCGAGAGACTCCTTTCAAAAACATTCTTACCAACCCCAAACTTTTGAAAGATAGTGTAGTTCATTTTGCTTAAAATTTTGTTGAATTGTGGTGACTGTAAAGTATATATATATATATATATATATATATATATATAGATTATGTATATTAAACAACCATGTGATTGCCTGTTTTTGGTTAATGAAGGGTATTAAGTAACTTTCAAATAAAAGATTCTTCATCCTATTTTTTTTTTTTAAATTCATGACACAAATGATGAAAAAAAATACAGCTTCACAATATATAACATTTCATTGTTTTAATATGTTGCCTGGAAAGCATCAGCATTGCAACTTAACTTTTCTTCACACTCTGTGTTTCCCATTCCTCCATGTTTCACTATAAATATGTTTTCATCATTGTCTTAACATCTTTTCATCTATTTTATCCCATTCTTTTAATTTGACATTGTCACTTCTATTTAATGTTTAGATTTTTCCGAGATTTAACATAATTTTATATAACAGAAGTATATATTTATACATTCCATTCAGAAAGTATTTACATCTTTTTTTCACATTTTAAAAGAAGTCCACAGCGTAACAAGAGAAAATGAAAATGTGCAGCCAAAACACATTTCTACCGTCTCACATCATAACACACCCTGCCTTCATAAACACTTCATAATTAAATGAAGACACTTCATAGTTTGGGGTTTGATTTCTATTGTCTGTATTGCATTGTGTACTATGTGACAGTCATCTGCATGCACATGTATAGGTGTGTAACAGCAGCGAGTATAACCGTCTGCATGCGTGTGTCTCTAACAGGACTCTTCATTGGGACTCTGACCCCTCTACTCTTCTGCTCCATTCAGACTCTCAGCTCGGGTACTGCTGTCTCGCTCTCATTAACATCACTCCTGCACTCTCTGCTTTATTACCCGCCTCTCCTTCATTTACCCTTCTTTCACATTTGTCCTCTCACTCTTTTTTTCATGGACAGTCATGATCAACCAAATAGTGAATACACTGAGACTTCCCTAGCTAAATTATGTTTAACTACCTTAAAGGTCATTTCTGATTTTTTTTTTTTTTAGTCTCCCCTGCTTAAGTCCAGGTAGAGCGACCCATGATTTATCAATATACAATCTTATCTCATGTTGGAAAGCATTCAGAGTCAGACCAACATGAAATGTACCTTATGTAACATTGAATTAAAACTAATTAAACTAAGTACTATGTAGTTTAGTATGTACTTTCTAAGACCCTCAAACTGTTGTACTGACTTTGTGGACACATCATCACCCCCCAGCAGATTATTTTATTTATTTATTTATTTAATAAATTAATTTTAATTTATTTATTTTTTTTGTTCATTTATTTTTTTGCATTTATTTATTCATGTAAAATGGATACAGTAATTTAGTTTTAGAATGAGTTATTTATTTACTTTCTTATATATTATGAATTATTTAATTATTTGTTGATTTTAATTTAATCAATTATTTATGTTGAATTGATTTATATTGTATTTTTTATTATTTTATTAATCAATACATTGTTTATTTGTTTGTTTTTAAATTAAGTTATTTATTTATTTATTCAGCAATAATTTTGTTTTTAATTTAATTATTTCTTATTTTAATAAAAAAAAATATTTAATGTTGATTTATTTATTTACTTTAATTATTCCCTATATAATTATACATTTTTAGATTCAGTCATTTTAATTGACTTATTTATTATTAATGAATGATTTGTTGTGTTTAGTTTAATTATATATTTTAATTTAATTTTAATCATTTATTTTGACTTTGTTGTTTCTAAATGTAATTATTTATAATTTTCAGTTTAATTGTTTAATATTTTTTATTTAAATACTTTTATTTTTTTATCACAGATATTTTTTATGAGTATCCCACAGCATACATTGTGTGTCTGTATTCACTGCAGGCGCGGCCCGCTGAAATTGGGCATGTCAAAGGTCACGCAGGTGGACTTCCCGCCCAAAGAGATGGTGTCATACTCAAAAGAGACCCAGACGCCCTCACAAACTCATCACAAGAATGGTAAGTCACGCACACGCTGCTTTTCTTTAAAGCAGTGATGAGACTAAACTCTGTCTCTGCTGTCTGTAGATGAGGAAGAGGAGGAAGATTCGGCTGTGACGCAGCCCGTCCTGGAGCCTCAAGAGGAGAAAGACCCTCAGAAAGAGGAAGAAGAAGGTAGCGCTTTAAAACACAGCAACAAGAGAAATCATATTTCACACCGTTCCATAAGACGTGAAATCGGCTGTAAATGATGATTAATGGAGGACACGTTTTCTGTGTGTAGCGCTGCCTCATGAGCTGACGGAGGAAGAGAAACAGCAGATTCTTCACTCGTCGGAGTTCGTGACTTTCTTCGACCACAGCTCTCGTATCATGGAGCGCGCTCTCTCTGAGCAGGTGGATGTGTTCTTCGACTACAGCGGGCGAGACCTTCAGGATAAAGAGGGGTGAGTGAGGAGAGTGCTTGTTGATGTGGAACGGCTCTGGTGTGTGACGTGTAACTGTGTTTGTTTCAGGGAGTCGCAGGCCGGGGCCAAACTCTACCTGAACAGACAGTTTGCGGACGAACGCTGGTCTAAACACAGAGTCGTCACGTGTCTCGACTGGTCCCCACAGGTACGTGATCGTGCAAAGTGTGTCCAAACTTTTAAGTGACGGTGTGTATTTAGTGCAGTGCAGTTCCCCTCACTGTTCCTGTTTTCTGGTTCCCATCAGTACCCTGAGCTGCTGTTGGCATCATATTGTAGCAATGAGGATGCGCCACATGAGCCGGACGGCGTGGCTCTCGTCTGGAACATGAAATATAAGAAAACCACACCGGAATATGTCTTCCACTGTCAGGTGACCATCTAAAAGCATTAAAAAAAATGACATTATGATTTTGGCTAACACTTTATTTTACAGTGTCGTCGTTACATGTAGTTACGTTAAATGATCCGTAATTACATGCAAATAACCTTAACCCTATAGTAAGTAAGGACATGTAGTTAATTATTATTACTCAGCACTTAAATGTATAATTACAGTGTAACAGGGACATTTTAAAATAAAGTGTTCTTGTCTTAAGATCACAAATTATTTATCTCATGGAAATTAAGATTTTGGATTCAACAGAAATAGTTTGAGATTGAAAAACAAAATAATAATATTTTTTTTTAATTCAAATAAATTAAAAATAATAATAAAAAAAAAATACAAAATTATTTTTATATTGCTATATTATTTTGTATATATAAATACACACACACACACATGCATGTATATATTTAAGAAAAATGTGTTATTTATATATAAAATATTTGTATTTAAATATAATATAAATTATGTATAAATATAAATACAATATATACATGCACATAATTCTTAAATATATACATGCAACCATGTGTGTGAATTTATATATACAAAATAATTATACGCAGTACACACACATGTATTATGTAAACACAAACTTTTATTTTGGATGCGATTAATCGCATTCATTTTTTAAGCACTAATTTTTTTGTTTAATTTCTTTTTAATTTTGGAGAATGGATGGATGGATGGGTGGATTATTAAAATTAATTTTTAATTTTCATTAACAAATTACACGGTCAACCTAGAAATTCTTAAAAATGAATCTGCTGAGAGCTTATAATATGTCCAGTCAGTGTGTGAATTACAGGTTCATGGAAGGCTTGAACCTGCTCATTATGTAGAAGTACATCATGAATTGATATTATGTTGCAGTTCAGAGGTCACGTGGCTCATGGAATATGTGTTTGTTCAGTCTGCAGTGATGTCAGCAGCGTTTGCACAGTTTCATCCTAATCTGGTGGTTGGAGGCACGTACTCGGGTCAGATCGTCCTGTGGGACAACCGGAGCAACAAACGCACCCCTGTGCAGAGGACGCCGCTCTCAGCCTCCGCTCACACGGTACACGAGCACAAACACCCCTGCAATGCATCATCTTCATCCACACTGTTCCGGTGGCTCATTTCCATCACTTCTCTCTCTCTCCAGCACCCGGTGTACTGTGTGAATGTGGTGGGGACTCAGAACGCTCACAATCTCATCAGCATCTCCACGGATGGGAAGATGTGCTCCTGGAGTCTGGACATGCTGTCTACGCCACAGGTGACACACACACACACACACACGTGCCATGTATCTACATACACTGCCCTTCAAAGACTCAGTAGTATTTGTTTTTGTTAAGATATTGATCTGTTTATGCAGCGAGGACACATTACATTTGTCAAAAGACATATATCATGTTATAAAATTTATAAAATAAATGATTTTCTTTTAAACTTTCTATTTAAAAGAAATCACAGCTGGAAAAATAAAATCACAGCTTCCACAAAAATTTGAAGCAGCAAAACTGTTTTCAACATTGATAATAATCAGAAATGAGCAGCAAATCCTCATATTAGAGTGATTTCTGAAGGATCATGTGACACTGAAGACTGGAGTAATGATGCTGAAAGTTCACAGGAATAAATTACATTTGACTATATATTCACAAAGAAAGCAGTTATTTTAAATTGTAATAATTTTTCACAATATTACAGTTTTTACTGTATTTTTGATCAAATAAATGCAGCCTTTTTTCTCAGGGAACGCAGAAACTGGTAAAACTTTGGACAAAAGCATCTGCCAAGAGCATTAATAAGACCATTTTGCAAGATGTAAACAACACTGGTCCAGAAACACTTCCTGTTTCAGTTTGTAACTGTTTTCTTTATTTCACATGTAAAGAAACTTGTTTAACTTTTTGATTCAGTTTTACATGTTCTGTTGGTTGTATTTTATCCCAGCTTTTATGTAGTGTTAAAAAACCAAAACAGGCAGTGCTTCTGGACCAGTGTTGTTTACATCTTGCAAAATGGTCTATATAATGAATCCTAAAAAAGTCTTAGAAACGGCGCCATTCATCCAGATACACAAGAGTCAAACTCACACCTGCTGTGTGTGTGTGTGTGTGTAGGACAGTCTGGAGCTCGTGTTTAAACAGTCCAAAGCAGTTGCCGTGACCTCCATGTCATTTCCTCTGGGTGATGTCAATAACTTTGTTGTGGGCAGTGAGGACGGGTCCATCTACACCGCCTGTAGACACGGCAGGTAAGAGTGTGTGAGCCAGCGCTGTTCGTGTCAGGTTCACATCCGCACAAGTCTTTGATTTCTGTTGGTGTGTGTTGTAGTAAAGCGGGCATCAGCGAGATGTTCGAGGGTCATCATGGACCAATCACAGGGCTCGACTGCCACACGGCGGCAGGACCGGTCGACTTCTCTCACCTGTTCGTCACTTCCTCTTTTGACTGGACCGTCAAACTCTGGAGCACCAAGGTGATAAACACACTTCTGTTTTGGGGTCAGCAGTACATCTACACTCCTGAACTCAGATCCCATGGAGGATTCATTTAGACTTACTTATATATTGTTGAAGTTGTCAGTTAGTATTAGTTTTATTTTAATTTTATGTGCTTTTGTGAGTTTTATTTTATTTATTTTTTTTAATTCTGTTTGGCTTGACTCTATTAGCATTTACATTTGAGTTTTTTTTTTTTTTTAGCTCATTTAGTTTCTACTTCAACTAAACTTATTTTATTTCAGTTTAACAAAAAAAGATTGTTTGCATTCCCATCTGCTATCTCGGTATCCTTGGATGGAAAGCTTATTTCAGTGTTTTAATTTCTATTCTAATATTTCTATTTGATTTGAGCAATTTAGTGAACAGTAGCAACACTGGTCTGTGTGTCTCTCCTGACAGAACAATAAGCCTCTGTACTCTTTCGAGGACAACTCCGACTACGTGTATGATGTCATGTGGTCACCCACACACCCGGCCCTGTTCGCTTGTGTGGACGGGGTCGGACGTTTGGACCTGTGGAACCTTAACAATGAAACTGAGGTACACAAATGTGGTAGAAATATAATATGAGCAGATCCACAATTTTTGAACGATTATGTGCTGCCTCAGGTCCCCACGGCAAGCGTAGCGGTGGAAGGAAACCCTGCGCTGAACCGCGTGCGCTGGGCTCACTCGGGGCGAGAGGTGGCCGTCGGCGACTCCGAGGGACAGGTGCACATTTACGATGTTGGAGAGGTGAGGACGACGCTGCTGAAACACTTTACTGTAGTTTGGAATTAAAATCTCCTACCATGGACTTTTATCTCATAATTCTGGCTTTTTTATAGATAAATATTAGGGGTGTAACGGTTCACAAAATTCACGGTTCGGTTCGATACGATACACTTGTGTCACGGTTCGGTTCGATACGGTTCGGAGTGTTTCCAATACAGAAATATTTTTTAACTTTGAGCAATGATGGAGCTATACTTGACTTTTCTAAGGAGCTTATAAACCAAAACAGCTCCATGGACAAAATGAAATGTAATACTGTAGTAGTTATAAACAAAGGTTTATTTTAGTTCAGATTAACATTTGAGGGCAGCAATTGTATTGATAGTCAAAATAAAACTGACGTGATGTTACTTGAAAGCATCATAGCCTACTATTCCTGCCAAACTTCCACGATAACCGTTATTAGGGTTGGGTATCGTTTGAATTTGAACGATTCTGATTCCGATTCCGATTCCGGTTCCTAACGATTCTCGATTCCGATTCTTTTAAGAGGCAGGGTCAAAAAAGTTTAGCTAACCTTGCTAACCAACGGTCTTTCTGAAGGAAATAAACCAAATGTTTACAAATGTTAAACATTAATAAACAAAATAAATAAATGTTTTACAAATGTTTTATTCCCTAGCGGACTAACGTTGTCATTGAAACTCATCTGGTGTTTTTTTGTCTGCAGCAAATTGCAGTGCCCCGGCAGGACGAGTGGACTCGGTTTGTGCGCACGCTCGCAGAGATCAACGAGAACCGGGAGGATGTGGAGGAACTGGCTGCTCAACGATTGGCTGCATGATCACCACGGCAACCCCAGCTGACCAATCACGGTTCCCCTGCATTTGCATATCTCCACCCTCTCTGAAGTTACTTTAGCGTTACTGGACGACAATCTAGGGCTTTTTAATTAGAAATGGATTATTTCAGAAAGCAAGACTTTGCTTTTAACACATTAAGCACTTTTAGTGTTGCTAAAATATTCGTAGTGGGATGGGATGGTCAACGTAGATCTTATCAGGTGTGAATTATAATGTTTTTATATATTTATTATCAGATTAGAGGCTGATTTGGAGGAAAGGGATGATTCATTGCATTAGCACTACGAATATGCAAACTATTGTACAGCATCTTTATAACCATTTAAGACACTGACGTAACCTAGTCCTAGAGGAACTGCAGATATGGGTTTTTAAGAGGTGGAATATTTTTAACATTCCCTTCTGGACAAACTTTCACATTATTGGAATATTTATAGCTTTTTAACAAATGTTTTTTTTTGTTTTTAGCTCATATAGAGTGCACATGTACGTTTGTAATAACTCAAATCGCACACACTTTCCAACATGTATCTCAGTTCTTACTTCTGAATGCCTTAAAGCGAACCTTAGGACACAAACCTATCCACAATCTTCCATCACGCAGCATTATATCCTTCTGGTGCTCGTTCATCCTGGCACTTACGACTGAAAAACTTTGCAAAGAGTGTAAAAAATGCATTTTTAAAGGGGCTGTTCCTTGATTAGCATTTCAAAACCTGTTGGTCTAAACTTAAAACTTCCTCTGGGCAAATATTTAGACTAATATACAGTGTTATTATTTTTCCATTTATTATACTAATATATTTTAAGCCAAATTATTAATAACCGGCTTGTCCACATCTGGATCCTGTTACATTTAGTGTGTTTCGTACCATTTTTAATCTGCGATTTAACGTTTTATTTGTAGTTTCAAATTCACGATAAATATATGGATTTTTTTGTAGTATTTATCTAGTTTATGTATTGTTCTTGACATTGTATAGGCAACATTAATTAGTGTAACTGACAAGACCTGAAAAGAGCTCCCCTTTTACCTTCACATAAATGTTTGCTTAAAATCTTGCTGTTTATTGGCAATTTATAATGTTCTTAAAGGACATGAATTGCATCTTCTAGACTTTATATTAGGCCAATTAAAGAGTTCAGAGCATCTAAAATGAAACCGTATTAAAGGAAAAAAAACCCCGAACCAGCCCAGAAAATCAAACCTGCCTTAATCTAGACACATTCTCATTCTGTTTATGTCTGTATCCTTTCCGTTTTATGACAATATTTATCTCTGTATCCGACGTCTAATTACATTCATCAGGATTCCCACAGTCAACAGACAAATCAGAGAATTTTAAAATTGATCTTGGTCCGGGAGATTTGTGTAAATAAAAGTTTCTATAGCTTTGAGCTTTTGGCTGGCGATTAACTCTTTCCCTGCCATTGTCTAGTTTTTCCGGCTCTGGCAACCCATGTTTTGACTGTTTAACGGCATGGGGCGCTATCATGCATCTTGTGGAATAGCACAGAATCGAAACAAGCGATAACGCACATGTAAGCTAACGCAATCATAAAACAACAAACACATTTAAAACGGCATAATGTTACTGAATAACATGTCGAACCCACAGAGGTACATGACTGTACAAGCTTTGTGGGTGTGGATGGACTCGATGTTTTAATCATCGTTCTGAATCCGATCCAGGCGTAGTCTCAGACACTTGATTTTCTCAGCTTTTTGTTCAAAATGTTGCTTTAATGAAACTTACCCATATTCAAATGTTAATAAAAAAAGATTGCATGAAGCTGGAATAAAATGGATTTTGTTTGTTTGTTTGAGGCTCTATTCTGATTGTAGGTTCAGATATTCATACAAAATATTCTGGGGGTCATGAAAATCTGCTGTCGCTGACTGACAACTTAAATAATGCTGTCTCAAAAGAGTTTTATGTTAACAATACCCATAGTTTCTTCATTATTACCTTGAAACATAAAATGCATATTTCATTAAAAAAAAAAAAAAGTTGCTGTTTGGATTTAAATAGTCAAAGAGTCTATGATTGGATCATTATTGCAGTGAATATCATGTTTCTAGTGTGTCAAGTGTTTGGCAACAGTTATTTTAACCCTAAATGAGTGTGTCACTTTTCATTTCTTAAGCAAACCTGTAGGAAGACACATTCCAGGATGACAATGCAATGAACCTCTTGACGGAAATGACATCACAACATTTATTTCCGTCAAGATGTTGGTTAAGATCTTGTAATGTCAGTGCAAGAGTCCAGCACTCTGTTAAGTCTCCTCCGGCACATCCCAAAGACTGAATGAGTATCAGCTCTGGACTCAGAGGAGTCGATTCACATGTATAAATGATTCTTCATGCTCCTCTCAACCTTCATAGTTTGATCCTTATGAATCTTGACATTGTTATCCTGGAATATGGCCATGATGCGTCTTCCTACATGTTTAAGAAATGAAAAGCTACACACTCAAATTAGGGTCATCACTGTTCCCAAACACTAACACACTAGAAACATAATAATCCCTGCAATAACGATCCAGTCATAGGCTGTGTCCGAAATCTCCACTCAAACCACTACGCCCTACCTCCTATGTAGGGAGTAGAGGACTATATAGTGAGCTCACCAGCATAATAGAAACACCACTTTCGGACACTACTCGATCGTCTGTCGGCGCCGTTGATTACGTCATTGCTGTCGCCCGTCAGTCTTTTTTACGATCAGCGCAATGCATGATGGTATGTAGAGCTTGGGGTTCTGGGACTGGGATACATTGAGTGGACTATATAGGGTATAATAATCATCACTATACATTCGGACCGCTCTACAAAATGGCAAGCTCACTATATAGTCCACTATATAGAGAGTTGTGGGAGATTTCTATACGACCCCAACAATTGATTGAGTAATTGTACAAAAAATAAAAAAATTTAATCATACAAATAATACTTTACTTCTCATCTATTCATTAATGCTGTGTTTTTGGAGATATAAAGTACTTTTGTATCCATATACCACACAATTCCTCAACAACACCATTAGCTTGCATATGAAATATTATTTTTTATGATACATTGCGTTTATGCTCTAGTACTCGGCCTTCATTTCTGTGTAATTTTCAGATTTATGCCTTTTTTTTGACACATTTTTTTTCACATTTCCCATTCATTTCAATGTGGGGTCATATTGACCCCGAAGACCAGAAGTGTAAACATTTTTTTCTTAAATACCTTCAGAACAACCGAATCACCCAGTTTTTTGTGTGTGTATAGATAGATAATGTATGAAGTCAATAAATCTTATTCCACTGAGATGAAGGGCACCTTTTTTTTTATTAGGTAAAAGTCGATTGGGGTCGTATAGACCCCATGACCCAATTGAGGGCTACGCATTTGACTGTTTAAATCTTTTTGGCTGAGCAGTGTCCTTATTTGAATGGAAATAAAATTGGACTTTCAAGCGCACAACGATCACAGTCACAATTATATCACATAATCGTATTTCCACAGCTTGCTTTTAGAAACATCCAGTAATCATGAATAGAAACATCACTAACGTGGGAACCCTGATTTACCCGATGACTGAAGTGAGCGGGACAAGCAATTTCACTAATTCACTTTATCCAACCTCTTTCGTAACTTGCTGTAATAATCCCAATAAAACCTTCACAAACTAGAAATAAAATTGAACCGTGTTGATTTATTTCCATAAAATACAAGAATTAAACGCATTTAAATTATTTTCTACTTTTTCAATCGACCATGATTTCCTTGATCACAAGTTTTGAAAGCTCTGTACATCAGTCAGTGTGACAGAGAGAGAGAGACGTCTCTGTGCATGAGATGTACATGTATATACAGTACATGTGCAAAGCTACGCAAAGCCGAATGAGCAAATGAAAAGCACTGCAGCATGCTCCAGTCACAACAATACATCAGAAATCATGAGAAAAGCAGCGAATGTGCGTCTTGGGGAGTGGAGACACATAAAACACAATGGTTTTTCTTTTAGGAGTGTTTCATGAAAAGCTCTTTAGCTCAGTCGTTGTTTCACTATTAGCCAGCGGCTGATGAACGTCTCTAGGGCCCTTGATGGATAATTCAGTGTATGTGTCGCTTTAGGTCTTGATCAGTGTGGCGAACATCTACCCTGTGCTTTAGCAAACACACAATGACCTCTAACCGGTGTTCTTCATCAGAACTGAGGCACTGATATGGGTTAAAAGCAACGAGACTCTGAAAACGAGTATAATTTCCCATGTCCCTCACCTAAAAACTGAAATAAATGAACCAGAAAATAAAGTGTGGAAAAATGTAGGCAAATGGGAGGGAGGGAGGCATGCAGCCATTGGAGGACAAGGCCATGGTGGGCGGGACTTGTATTTATGATGTGCCAGCTTGTTCCTTGGGCGTTTCGGAGTGAATTGTCATTACCCCGGAGGATTTGAACTTGGGCAGGTGCAGTCCGAACTTGTTCTCCACCCCAGAAAAGGTGACGGCTGCCAGACGGTAACCACCGACATGCTCAGAACTGACGGGAGGAAGCTCAGAGATCCGGGATTTGGGCGTTGGTACAGAACCAGAAGGGCGACTGGAAGGGGAAGAAAGAGGTTTTTGCTTTCAGTGCAAAGAAACTCAAAGTGCCATATTTTTCCAGATAAAGGCTCCATAATCGATTTCAGGCGACCAAACTTAAGCCCTATTCGGACAGGATTCGTTTAACATGGAGAGGTGGAGTAAAGTAATTATTACCAGAGCCCGTCTTTATGTGCCATCTCAGTAATCATTACAGTGATTATTTCAATGTCCGGAAAAATGACCTCAGGTGATGCTAATCCCGTGAGAATAGACACGCTGCAAATATGTACGTAAATGTTCAGTCATTTCTTGTTTAAAAGTTTTTTTCCATGGTTTTTCCAAGTATGAAGGCGCTTGAATAAGCATTCATCTAGATGGTAGGACAAGTCCGTGGCAAAACTCAAGTGTTTTACGCATTCAGATCAAAAAGAAGGTTGAAAGCACTTGTTAGACGGACGAAACTTCTTTAGCATTAGGTGCCCATTACCAACATAATCCAATCTGAATTTAATTAACATATCGTTCGACCAGACCTAACTGTTAATATATATATATATATATATTTATAAAAATATGTCATAACAGGTCAACAAATGTCATAACAGGTCTAATTATCAAACTTAAAGATGTTATTTAGCTTTGTGTTAACATTACATTACCCTGTCATATGTTATGGTTGGTTTTAACTTTGGCCGTCATGACACCATTATAATTGTGACATGAATATTTTACTTGTCCTCAAGTAAAGTGGAACACATTGTACTAGTTATAAGTACAATATGTCATTAACGGATATTACACTGTCAAATGCTTTAACAACAGTGTCATTAATATGTCCCTTTACCTCAAGTAAAGTGGAACACGTTGGACTAGTTATGATTTCTTGGTTAATGTCAAGTTGTCATAACAAAGACATTTTAAACAATGTCAACTTTGCATTAAAACTGTCATAATTTACCGAATGACACTTAATGACAACAGTCATAAACATTCATTAAGACTCCTTCATGTTCATGACAGGTGTTATGTCAGTCTTATGCACACCCCTTCAAATAAAGTGTTACACATGGCGACAGGAAGTGACGGCGGGGCGTAAATCGAGTTACCCCTCCCACTTCTGCTAGTTTTACTGAGACATCTTAAGCGCAAAAACAAAACCCTGCCTTACATGTTAGTCAACATTTAGTTAATCAACGTTCATTCATATACATTGATTAAATGAACATGCATGATTCATTTAAAGCCAAAAGACTATAAATCAGCATGAAGTTTTAACATCTACTCTCATGTAATGGAAATCATACAGACATTCAAATGAAAGTCTTCATGCTGTGTGAATCCTCTGGTGAAACACACTCCTAAATATTTCCAGTTTAAAATAGTAAAAAGTGTGCTTAACGATCAACACTTACTGTCCTCCGAAGTCAATGTACAACCATCGCTGAAGGAGCTCGTAGGTCACCAGGGTCACACCGAACTGAGGAGATGAGCGGAACACGCGAGCTACGAGAAGACAGAGAGGACTGTGAGTGAATATGGACGAGACTGTAGTGAAATCTGTGATGTGTGTATGTGTGTGTGTACCTCCAGCTCCCTTCCATAGTGCTCGAAAGCCTTCCTCATGCAAGATCTTCCTGAAACAGTCGATCACTCCAGAATAAGTGGTCTGACCGGCACGGGCTGCCACCTGCAGTCGTGTTTTGATGACATCAGCAGGGGTGACAAGTGAAGCAGCGGGTATACCTGTCAATCAAAATCATTCAGACATCTATTAATGCAAGATTAACATCTGAACTTAAAGTAGGAAATCTGGCCGGATGCAGTTTTGTCTGAAAAAGGTTATGAAACTGAAGTAGTGGAAGATCTTTTCTTCTGTATTGTGACAAAGAAATCTTTTTTTGTTTGTTTGTTTCAATTGTTTGGATTCTGTTGCAATCAAAATTGCAGAAAGATGAATGGGATGCAGAGATGGGGTTTAAGCAGAATAAATGATTGGAGAAGTGATAGATAGAGAAGTGATAGGGTGAATTTTCTTATGAAATGAAATTTTAAAATATCTAAAAATGGTTAATATAATGGTAGAATATGCCTCTGGTACTGTTAGACGGATTTTATTTATTGCATTTTTTATGAAACTTGACGTTTGTGTCATTTGCTATGTAAACATAAAAAAAATTTAAAACACTAAATGGTCTTAAAAAAAATATGCATACTCGTACTGTTCACAGTCCAATATGAC